TAAAGCTACAGTGAAGTCTGGACAACTTATAATATTTTTGTTTTGGAGATGGTTGGCACTCGCAAATCATTATCAGATGAGAACACATGGCTTGTGCTCGTGGTCGCTTGTAGCACCCGCCCACACATGCGCATTCGCAAACACACGAAACAACCAGCGCATTACTCCCGATGGTGATACGCTTATTTATTTATTTTTTTACAATTACAAAAAGGCAACAACAGATCACAGAACACCAACTTAGTTTCCTTTGTGACTGGTGCCTCCGGACCAAAAGTTAAATATATGTATACCATTTATTTATAATAAAATAAAAGGATGGGTGGATGCTGTGTCAATGTAGACGAACAAAGCCGAAAATATCGGGTGGTTTTTGTCATCTTTGATAGCTACTGAAGACATGTTGTGCAAAACAAAAGACATTGTAGATGTTTCAAGTTCCTATAGGTGCTTTTGTCCCCATCACCTGATATAGGCTTCCGCCATTTAGCCGCGCTGAAAGGAAGTGCATTCACCTTTTGCCAAATGCGGAAACTGGTTTTGCATGTACTTTATTTGTCCAAAACATTAGGACCCACTTTCAGGGCATTGCAGTGCAGTTCTCTGCCAAAACCAAAAATTTTGTTATGTATTGCTGTAACAAAATGTTTTAAGATAATACTCCCCTGTAGTGTCCAAAACGGAACAATATTGTGTTTCTAAAGACAGATCATCAGCTTTTGCTCTTGGATGTCAAGATAGTACCGTATTCATTATTATTAAAAATAATAATATGTGCAAGTACTGTATCACATTTTTAATGGACAGAAAACATATACATATGTTCTGTATGACCTTAAAAATTGCTATTATTATCAGAATATCAACATTTCATTTCATTTGAACATTCACAGGCTTCTATTTGTAATCATTATTATTATTATTATACATTATTCTTACATTCTCCCATTGGTGTTTAGGCCTATTGTCATGTGTTTTGCAAAAGCCCCGTTTCAAACTTGGTCAAATCACATTGTTCTGATTTGCTTATTTATTTATTTATTTGTTTGTTTGTACATACACATGTCAAGAATATAACAAGAACTAGGGTGCCCAACCAGTCGATCGTGATTGACCAGGAGTCCGCGAACTGGTCTCAAGTCAATGGAGGGGGAGATGTAGGAGAAAATATATTAAAAAAAAAAAAGATGTATGTCTGTGTGTGCGTTCTGAATATTTTATATTTTTGTGTTAGTGCACACCACACCCTAAGAATTCCATCAGATTAACGTTCACCAAAAAAGTATGAAAAAAATAAAATAATATAACAAAGCAGGTCACCTTTAACCGACGGTGGCGCGTTACCTGCATCACCGGAAGTTGTTAGCAGTCAGCAATTTGCACTTGCAGCTTGCGATTAGAGCTGTCGCCATATATCTTTTTTACTTTTATTATTCTCATTCAAAGTTTGTTTCATGTACAATTCACCGATGGCACTGGCAAAGAATGGGAATCTGAATTCCCCGGAGAAAAACTACGATAGTGATGTTGTTGCACTGAAGATGCTGCCAATGTGCGTCCCATGCCGCCGCGTGAGGTCTCGACTAAAGTAGGCACTGATTCCTTTTTACAAACTCACAACCTCTTGTATCTACTTTATATTTCTGTTTCGTTCGTGTTCTGGGCCATCATGGCCGTTCCTCATCATGGCATGCGTGTGTGTATGCGTGCACGTGCGGTAGTGGGTCGATCGCGAGAGGTCGACTGCTTGAAAAGTCGATCTTTGGTCAAAAAAGGTTGGGCACCCCTAGACTAGACCAATTCTTTGTGGTGGATGGTGGCAGTTTGGTTTACACAGCACATCAAAAACCAGTTTGTCTAGTTTCACAGAGTTTGCCAATGTGGCCTGCCAACCTCCATTGGTTGTGGCTGCCTGCCTTATTTAAAGCTAAAATCCACGATAGATTTTTTTTTCTAAACATTTGCTAATATACCAGAGATAATCAACTTTAACACCAATTTAACAAAAAAAAATGTTAGTGGTGACATTTTAGGAATCTTGTCTAGGTAAATTAGACATTAATCATGACATTAATATTTAAGGGATATGACTGTGTTTAGCGTGTCTCAGTTTTTGAGAGAATCAAGCCTGAAAGTGTAAAAATGGAAGGGAAAATGCATTTCTTAACCTGACGGGCAGCATACGGTGTTTCTCAGGATAGAAAAAAAGTAGCGTATTGTTGGGCAACACTTTCAAGCGGATATGGGCCTGCACTGAAAAGTAGCAACAGTAATAATTATAATTTATAACATTGTTGAAATATTTAAGTAGACAAAATGTCTCATTAAACTGATCATATATCACAAAGTTGATGTTCCATGGGACTGAACTTTTTATTTGTATTTGTATTTTTTTTTTTCCAAAAATTGCATTCTACTTGATGTCGATTTGAATCTGATTAAAAGCTCAGGCCTACTCTGAATGGATTGTGGTTGAACTTTGAGGTACTACTGTAACCAGAATATTAATCAATGACCATGAGGCATGTGTGCACGAGGAAGACGAGTAAAATAAACATAGTATCAGAAGATTTTCTGAGTTTAATCACAATAAAATATGGCAGATAGGTCAGAGGAATAAAACCCCACCTTACAATTCACTCTCTCTCCGATCAGTGTTAGGTTGTTAGGGTTTTAAGGTGATTAGCTTACTCAAGGAGCCTCTCTGATTTGATTCTTTAAGAGTCCTCTTTGTCTGATTTCCCCTCATCTCCATTTTGGCACCAGTGTGGAGCACCTGCAGTGTCAGCAAGCACAGGGCTAATGCTAATGAGGGTTTTAATATCAGTGTCTCTTTGCTTGTGGTTTGAGCACCACATAGCATATCAATAATGCAGGTGGTAGAAATGGCTCATACTGTGAGCTTCTCAGATTGCTAAATTTGGTTCAGACATGAAATGTGTGTTAAAAAAAAAAGTTAATTGTGTGTGTGTGTGTGTGCGTGTGTGTGTGTGTGTGTGTGTGTGTGTGTGTGTGTGTGTGTGTGTGTGTGTGTCCTAAGGAAGTATGACGTGAAATGTGGCTCTACTAGTGTGATGGCTGGTGTGTAAATAGATCATTGGCTGCTTCAGCTCACAACAGTAGATGACCTTCACCCTCTCCGCAAACAAGCCCTGTGTGCACACTGCTCGTGCTTGTCTGGCATATCCAGTTCAAAGGCAGTTCATGGTAAACCAACAAAAAGATGCACTAATTATTCATCAGAAGATTAGCATAATACCTCTTTGCCGACCAGATGGCTTCCTTCTGTCAAATTATATTCACCACCATGTCGCAGTTTCATAGTAAGCAGCAGTCATATCTTAGAAATTGTCGTTATTGCTCATAGTGAGACCTCCTCCCCCATGTGGTTCGAAGGATAATATTTGCGACATTTCCAAATCCTTTTAGTCAGAGGTTGGAAAATAATGTCATAACCTTTGCCCTGCTATTGGTGCGGGATGTTTATTCTAGTGACAGGTAATAAAAATACTTTTGGAGCAGACCAGGGCATCATATAGTTCCTTATAATCTGATGCGCCTTATATATGGTGTTACAGTCTCTTTATATCCCCCATTGAGTTGTTCCCCTGTTCGTGTTCTTATGCCATCTAGTGGTGATTATTAGCAGGAATCAATTGTAACGTAAAAGGTTTCTGCCTGACACTAATTGACATGTGCAGTCGACAACACACACACAACCAGACAACTACTTTGTGAGCTTTGCGCATCCATTATGAAACGAAGATAATTCCAAAAGCTTAGTTAACTACTGATGAAACGAAGGAAGAGGGACACAAGCAAGACTTCTAAGCAGATTTACCCCCTTGTGAATGTGAGCCCACGAGGTTTGTGTGCCTTTTTGTTGAATCAATTGTCTTCATAACTTTTGTCTTTCATTTATTGTTTTGAAATGCTATTTCAGTTCTCATGGGTTTCCAAGGAATAAACGCTGTCCTTATATGGACCTCGTGTCTTGGTTCATGCTACATCCTGAGGGAGCTACATTTGGATCAATATTGTGATTGGACCTTGTATTTTAAATGTTCTGTAAAGCGCTTTGCTATAACTGCAGCAGTTGTGAAGGCTCAATATAAATAAAGCTGGATTGTATTGTATTATATTGTATTCCTTCAGAGTATCTTGTGGATGCCTAGCGCAACTACAGCCACTATTGTCGCTTCAATTCTGTGCGCCTTATTATACTATAAAACAGTTTTAAAATAGGCCATTCATTGAAAGTACGTTTTATACTCCGAAGCGCCTTATAGTGCAGAAAATACGGTCATCGAAAAGTCATCGATTGTCCTTCAGTAATTATTTTTGATCAACGATGAATCAATCCGATACCTTTTATTTAATTGAAAAAAGTGGTCCCAGCTCTTTTGGAATTTTCTATAGTTATCAAATTAAAAATTAGCAAGTGTTTGTAAAAAAATAAATAAATAAATAAATACTTGTCCTGCATTTCATGAATGGCGTCGCACCATCGCAAATGTAATCACCCATCAAAAATGCTGTGTCCTATCACATGAGAGTTCACAACAAAAATACACCTTTTTGAGGAGGAAGCCAAAGCCAACTGCTTGCCACAAAGCTGTATCAATACCAATACTGTATACTGTATTGTGCTTTTCAATAATACAGTATTTATAATTTCTTATGTACCTCCGGCTAAAAAGTGACGCGTGAAAACAAACCAGACTTAAATAGCACGAAACGATATTGTATTTATAATTTTGTATGTGACTGAAAATATTGTTTCCTACTAAAAACACCAGCGGCAACGGTCACAGTTTTTTTTTTTGTCGCAGCAAGCTCATATACTGTATGTGCAAGGGTCAGTTGCCTGGTGTGTGTGTGTTTTTTTTTTTTAATGCTATTGTCCAGACATGTTTGCCCATGTCGCTTGGTGTGTTTCAGGCCTTAGACAACCAAATATATTCTACTGCATTGCATTTATGATTTCTTTTCTTTTTCAGATATCATCGACAAGAGTGAGCTGAAGCTATTCTTCGAGAGCAATGGTTCGCAGATTTATTTTATCTTCTATGAAAATTTCATTACACTGGAAAGCAACTTAAAACAAAAAGGTGGGTTCAAGCTTTTTCGTTCAATAAATTCAGCTACATATCTTCCTGCTGTGTGTCACAACAAAAGAGTTAATTTTCCTCTCGTCTCCCACTAGTATAGCATTTTAAGTGATTGCTAAATTATGACAATGTAATCAAACACATCGTTTACTGAATTTCACTGCTGACGGGAATTTTCACATTAACTCCACTATTGTATTTTGAAGCTGAAGCACCTTACTTGGTTTTCTCAGGGATCAAGTCTCAAAGGGAGGAGCTGGACTCCATCCTCTTTATTTTTGAAGTAAGTTGCTCTTTTCTATTAGCGTGACTTTAAAACCTTTCTAACATATGCCGGTGCCTCAATATTAGGGTTAGAGTTGTCCTCCCTCTCAGTTCACCTGAAACGGTTGAAACAAAACAACTGGATCCTTGACAGGGGAGAGGGGACTGAGCTCAATCATTTTCTAGCTTAACTTTGTGTAATGGCCCTTCCCCCGGTTTCACCCAACAGTCTTATGTTGCACGTACAGGTTAAAGTCCTCCACCTTGTTTTTTTCCATCTGACTACAAAGACAGGTCCAGTGTCGCATACACAGACTGAGTTCTCCAGTTACATTTGCTCAAGGAAGAGCTCTAAGGGTGGCGGAATATCAAATTGGGGTTCCGAAGCATTGCTAATCATGACAGAGTATTTATCCTTCTCTCAACACTCTTTGGAGACGTGTTCAGGAATGCTCTTTGCTTGTGGTTAATGTTAAGATTGTGTTGAAAATACCTCATAAAAGAAGGGGAGGGGGGACTAAGAAAGCTACAAATAAATATAAATTTGTCCAGTGCTTGAAATAAAAGAAATACAAACATTGGGTGTCTTTTATCCAAGCAACTTGGGCTTGTGCCACAAAGTTCTAATGGTTTGTTGAAGTGTTCTTTTGTTGTTGTTGTTTTTTTTCATGATTCCATGCTTTTTTTCCCCTCAGAATTGAGTGATTTTTGTTCCCCCTCTTTCCTTTGTCTGAACAAGCGACTGTTCCTGAATGAACATCCCCTAAGGGTGGTGATTCCGTAATTTCTGTCAGGGGTTGTACTCTTCCACCGTTTTTCACTGCGACAAATGGTGGGAACAACAACACAAAGCACTCTGCTGGATTGGGAATAGAATATGATGTGCATCTGTTTCAATTAGGACAACAAATGCATTATATTAACATATATGAATGACATTCAGACTTTGAGAAAACCTTGGTAACCGACCAAAGTTCCTAAATTGTCCTTCAGTGTTCTTAGTGCCAACACAAGATAATCTCCTCAACTGTACGCACGCTCACAAATTGAGCTCTAATTTAAGCGTTAATTCATGCCTGCTGCATATGTATGCAGTTTTTCTCAAACAGAACTAATATTGAATGCAGCTTAACCGTCACTTGTCCCCTTTTAGCTCCTGTCTGTGACGACGTGCTCTTTACTCATGTACTGTACTCGGAAGGAAAGCCTTGAACGGCATATATAGGAGAAAGACATCGTTTGGTCCTAAGATCTGCTAAATTGAGTACACATTCTTTACGCCATAATAGATCAAATGTGTTCTTATGGATCGTGATAATGTGACAGAATTAAGCATTAAAATTAAATCAGCATGTGTCCTCTATTAGTTTGGATGGTTAAGTTGGTCTCAATAAAACTGAAACATGTAGTGCTGACTCACAAAGTTTAATCTCTGACCTTACTTACCTGACTACCGACTGGGGGCTGGAATTACATAACCGTCTTGCCACACGAAGAGGGGACAATTCTTTCACGCTGCCTTGCACATTTGCATTCAAAAAGCGGCTGATAACATAGACGACAACTCATCTTCTCACTGTGTTTGATTCGCACAGCTATGCGGAGACTACTTTTCAGTTATTATAAAGTATGTGACTCCTTTTCTCATGGTGCGGGAGACTGGCAGAGTATTCCTGTTTTTGTCTAATGAGGGGCAGACCCTCACAGGCACGATCATCCATTCCTGATTACTTTCCTTGGATTTCTTTTTGTCTAATGCCATAAAAGCATCTGCCAGGGTATCTTATCATACGGCATCTTTTTAAAAAGGATGAAAACACAAATAAGATTATGTGGTGGTGAGGGTTTTTTTTTTTCTTTTTGTTGTGTGTGGGTTGGACTCAGTCAAATCAGAACTGCCATGCAGTTCTCTTACTCCGATAGTCTGTGTTTGGACTAAATTGGTATTATCATCTGATGTTCTCATATCAATTCAGAAACTGTAATACGCTTTTACAGTCAGCTGTTTTTGCAGTCACAAGACAAGTTTGAACTTCTGCCAGGCTTGAGTGACTCCAGTGTGTTTATACTCCCATATGCTTGTACATGACCTTATCTGCTGACTGCCTAAAAGCAGCTCGATCCCTGCGCCACTGTGAATGTGGGACATAGGAAACTTGCACATAGGAAAAAAAACAAACCCATAGGAAACTTTGTGCACATCCATTTCCCTTCATCTTCTTGACAGGATATAACCTTACCGTGACCGAGCCGGTTTTGAATCAGCATTTTTAATTTCCTCTGTCATCTTCTCTTTGAATCCTCTTCTCTAGATTTAATAGGTGACTTGACTGCATGTCATATCAAACAGTGGGTCTCAAATTAGGGTCCCTGGCCATAACTTGGAGGTCCGCAAACCAATTTGCAATACAGTTTAACACACACATAAAACAAATATATAAAACCAATTACTCCTCCCTGTCCCCCACCTACTCCCTGAAGACAGCTGGGATAGTCTTCAGCACGCCCCGCGACCCGTGTGAGGATAAGCAGATCAGAAGATGGATGATGGATGGATGGTTGGATACTCATCCCTACTTTAACTTCAGGCCAATTAAAACTCTGACAAGGTTGTGACATATCACATAAATCTGACATTCCTGCATGCATGCAGTAGTTCGAGCTCTTGTATGCATTTTTCTTTTGTAGAGTTTTACGGGTGACAGGTGAGGCAAGGCAGTGTTGACAAAGTATTTACAGAATTGGAGCACATACAGTATTTCAGGTCAACTGTTTACATGTCGCTAAATTACAGCTTTGCAACACATAAATGATTAGCTGTTCCATGTCTTTGGCGATGTACGGTATAGCACATTCGACTTGGTAATTTCCCTCTCCTTCATGTTTTGTATAAAATAATTTTAAATAATTCAGCTCACTTTCTCTGTTTCAAACAGGAATTGAATTTGCTCAGTATTTTTTTTTTGTTAATAGTTGCGAGAACATTCAGAAAAGTTGCTAAACATAGTGACCAAATTGTTAAGTTGCTATCACTGAGTGTGCACCTTGCTGTTGGCAACCATGTTGTTGTTGGAAGCAGTTCACGTCAGGATAAATATTCAGCCGATACTGTACCTCTTTTTCACACTGAGTACGAGTACAAGTACATACTTTAGATTACTCTCCAATAGTGAGTGCCAACACTCGTTAATGCCAACATGTCTTGTAATTCTATTGAAAACGTCTTTTATTTCGATCCAAGATTGTACAAATCATTATGGTAATGATTCAGATAACGTTGTGACGCTGCGGTCTGCTGCACAAGCGCAACCACAGCTGAACAGACAGTGGAGCGACTCATAGGCACGAGTTTGTTTGTGCGCCGCTGCTGCCATCTACTGGTTAGAAATAAGAATACACTACGAGTGACTTCATTCCCAAATTGCTTTGCTTGAACTGCTGTTTTTATTTGGGGGTTACATGGCATAAGCTTTTTCAAACACATGATTGCACAGTGATTACGGAGCTTCCCAGTCGAAGAGTTCTGATAAAAGAACAAACTGCGGTTGTATGAGGGTATCTCAAATTCCTTCATTTTTACGCTATTATTTTGACTCCTTCCAGGTTTTTAAATTCCACTTGTATAACTGTTGCACTGCCATTGCTATTCCCTATGTTCAAATCATTGATCTCTAAGTCAAAGGAGTGTGAATGAGCAGTAGCTCTTAGAGTCCACGTTTGTCAAAAAAAAAAAAAAAAAAACCCCTCATGGACCTGTATTCTCCACCATTTTTGGGTCCTGTAGCGAGAAGTCTAAGCACGGATCATGTAAATGTCCTAAGGCTGTAGCTGCAGCACCGTAATGCTCCCATCGTTATGCTGGCGTATGGCTGCAGCTTATCGTAATTCCGGCAACCTTCGTAGTACAGAGGAGTCTGCTTTCGCCTTGAATCTGCCAGTAAATTCCTCATTGTTAGGACCCCCATTCCGGCTCCATGGGGAGTCTTTTGGAGTGAGCTTCTCCATCTCGTTCCTGCTCTCCTTTCCCGGTGCTCTGTAAGTGATAGAAATGGGGGTGTTATTGTGTCTGCGAGTGCACACAGACATCTACGTTGGGGAAAGCTTAACCATGCTACCCTGCTGGGTTACAGCCTCGGATAATATGCCTCCTATCCCAAGGAGACAGACAGAGAAAGGCCAACACAGATCCTGTACAGAGTTGCGATAATCCCACGCAGGATCTATAGGAAAGTGCAGGTACACGTCTTTCAGCATCTCTGCTGTCACCGATAATGAAAGGGATTTAGTCCCAAGGACAAGAAGGGAAAGTTAATGATGGAGGAAGAAAAGGGAGTTGTTGACAAACCAAGTCAATCAAAAACAATCGATGATCTCTTGAGTAAGCCAAATAGTAAAATCATCCAACATCAGAAATACTTTGCGCAAAAGCAATGTTCAAACTTTCAATGTACATTAGGTTAATTACACATGCAATTCTATATGGGCACAGAGTAATCAAGAGATGTCAGGCTGAGGGGCAGTGAGCAAATAGTCTCCTCAGGAGGGGGATTGGCGCGGTGATCCCCCATTTCCCCTCTTGCTTCCATCCATATTCCTAACCTCATCACTGCCCGTATTGATTGCCTTCACCGTCTTCATGAGTCCCTTCCTTATTTTTTTGTTGTTGTTGTTTTTTTTTTTGTTTATTGAACATAAAAACATATACAGTAATAAATTGACAGAAAGTAAGGTCAGTAAAATAGTCGTCATACACACAATTATTATGTTCAAAGGAGTAGGAAGAAGTAAAAAACTTAGCTAGTCCTACCCCAAGTTATGTATTTAAATATAAATAGATCATTTTTATATCAATCAGAAAAAGAAAGAAAGAAGTCTCCGTAAAAGCTCATGCTTTTACCCTTAACCGTGATATTTTTACAACTTTTGGTTAATATCGGGATTTTATACATACACACCCTAGCACTTTTATATGTCGATTTTTTTCTTGTATTCATAATGGATATTGCAGTACATTACTCCATTTATCAGCTTAATTCTATTTTGATCAACTCTTATTTCATAGTCTTTGTTGTTCATTTGAACATTTATTGTGTTATTGTTATTCCATTATTTACACTCTTGGTATGAATAATAATATTGTTTGGCGTAGTAGCATCAGTTTCCCTGCTTGATAAAACAAAGAAAGTCCTCCTCAGTACATGCATTTTCTATGAGCAGGTGATGGTTTGTTTTTGCAGAAGTTTTCTTTAGTATTTAAAATCTTTTTAGTTTTGTCATCCAGATGCAGAAGTACAACAAGCTCCTCTGGGGCAAGTATTGCGCTTCCCTTTTTTCCCACTTACTGTGGCAGACCTTTTTTGTTTTGTTTTTGGGTTTGGTTTTTTTGTACCATGGCAGGCTTTACCTCTAACTTGAAAGCATGAAGTCTTTGTGGTTCACTGATTTTGAGTTGATGAGCCCTTGGCACATCGCTCACATTTCAATAACTGTTGTGGACTGTGTGTGAAAGCACCGCACACGTCCTCCATCTCCCCAGCAATTTTTTAAATCTGTCCAGATAAGAGGCCGCTAACCTATACTACTGCATTTAACGGTAATGATAGGCTGCTAATAGGTTAGGGCGGTCTAATTGAGTTGGTTGGCAGTGAGGGGATGATATTTCTCTGTGCTTTGGCATGTTGTGTCGAAGAAGGCAAAGAGAGTTAAAAGGCTGAGGTCCTTAAGTGCATGCTTGCCAAATGGTACAGCACAAAAATAATCACTGCTCATTGATTAGATAAAATACACATCGACAAAGGCATTCTGCACTAGTCTGGAGTATTTCCTGAAATGTTGTAGTAGTAGAGTTAAAGCTCGAGTAATGATTATTTGGCTTATGACTAACTTTGCATAATTTGTTTTCAACAGAAAATTCTGCAATTTCTGCCAGAGAAAATCTACAACCGGTGGCAGTTTCACAGTATAGGTATGTGGCACTCACTTTTTTCACAAATGAAATGTCAAACATTTTCTGTTACCGGTAAGTATATTTTAGCGATATATCCCGGTACCTGATTTTTCATCATTATGCTCGCATAACATTTGAGATGTCTTCGTTTCGCACACCAAAGAAAAAATAATTAGTCTTATCTTTGAATTGAAAAGAGAACTGCTAATTAGGGCTTTTTTGTAATGCAAATAATTAATTAAATTATGCTGGAAGGTGTTCAGACTGGTTAACTCGTGCGCCTCACAGTGCAGTGGTGCAGGGTTCAATTCCGGCTCGGGCCTTCGGCCTGTGTGGAGTTTGCATGTTCTCCCTGTCCCTGTGTGGGTTTTTTCCGGGCACTACGGTCTCCAATCCACATTCCAAAAACATGCAGGGTAGGTTAATGGAACACTCTAAATTGTCCCTAGATGTGAGTGCGAGTGCGAATGGTTGTTCGTCGTCTCTGTGTGCCCTGCGATTGGCTGGCAACTATTGCTGGTGACAGCTGGGAGATGTGCCGGCACACCCCGCGACCCTTGTGAGGATAAGCGGATCAGAAAATGGATGGAGTTCAGACCCCCATAGAATGAAAAGGACCGTGCAAGTTGTGATAAACCCAATTAGAATATTTCATTGTCAGCGCAACAGTCATGGCTCTTAAACATCCATTTTTATTTTACATAACATTGCAGCTGCTATTGTCGTTGTTCTAAAGTCAGATACAGTAGAACACGATTATTTAATTCAACCCTCAATTCAAAGAAATCATGACAGTAGACTTAAACTGTATTGTTTATCCTGAACACACTTTCGCTGAGGTAAAATTTCTTGGGCCGCCTGTCGTTTCCTCTCAAGACATCTCTTTCTTTCTCTCTCTCTCTCTCTCTCTCTCTCTCTCTCTCTCTCTCTCTCTCGCCCTCGCTCTCGCTCTCTCTTTCTCTCGCTCTCTCTCTCGCTCTCTCCTTGTCACACACAACCCAAGACATTTAGCAATCAGAGCTTTGTCTTATTTGATTGCAGCCGACAGCTTCTTTTAATGCACGTCACTGCCAACAAATGTTCATTTTCATCAGGAAAATGCGATTCAGCACCCCCCAAGGCCCCATCAAGGTTGATATGCCTTGGTAGCGATCACACCTACACCTGTCCATTTTGCAGTGTTTGTTGTGATTGTGAGCATCTGTGTGTCTGTAGGTATGGTGAATATGAGGCGGGCTTACCATTTGTTGCTTGTTTTTTTTTTTTTTTTTGTCAGGTTCTATCCTGAAAAAGCTTCTACACACTGGAAATTCTTTCAAGGTAACATTAATCTAAAAATATAATAAGTACATGTCCATGGGTAAACAGTACCCCACTGATGTTACTTGCCAAATTGTTCCAGTTTTTTCCACTTCAACTAGAGCCACTGCTTAATGCTTTCTCCTCACACCATTTTGTGTTCATACCTAATACTCGCTCTGTGAATTTTGGTCTAGATCCGGTGTGAGGGGATGCGTCTCTTCCTGCTGTGGTTGCAAGCCTTGAGGGACAATTGTGCTGAGGAGCAGTTCCTTATCTATGCCTGTCTGGTGCCAGGTTTCCCAGCAGTGCCCTCGTCCAGGGGGCCTTGCACCCTTGACACGATCATTTACAACCCTTTCTCCAACCCACCTGACGGTGAGCAAGGAATGAATACAATATCTGATATACCGCTTCATGCTTATTTTTTCCCCCTCACCCAGTTCTTGCTTTAAAATAGACGATGACGTGGCTCTTTTCTCATCATATATGTCAATGTGAACAGCTAAAGTGGTGCCTGAAGAGATCACCCCGCTTGTTCCGGCTGTGGCTGGCGAGAAGGGAGCAGATGACCAGACTTGTTACGTCCTTGAAACCCTTCTCAAGTTCATGGTTACCCAGGTAATTGATGCTGTTGCAAGGGAAATGACACAGGACTATATTTCTCATCATATTTGCCGCTTGTCCACATCTCACCTAAATTGAATTGATTTTGGTTGTCCTGATTATTCATTTTAAAATAGTATTGAAAAATATGACATATTGTTGATTGATTGTTGATGGATACTATAGTTATCTGTCTTGATTTACAGCTTGCTTCTTCGTTAATTAGGTTTTGTGTGGGTGACATGAGCATTTTTTTTCAAGTGCTTCTATGTTTTCCAATTGCTGATAATAATGAGAACCCAAACATTATGGCAGATGTTAAGTGTGTACAGTCATTCCATTTGCACCAAGGCAATGCTATTTTCCCTTTTCGAGATATTTTGAAGGACAATGGCTTCAATCTTTTATGCAGCAAACAATAAACGGTGACCGACTGAGTGATTATGTATTCATCTCCACTCCCTGTCGCCTGACCTTGTCAGTCTTTGTTCTGTTTACCCTTCCAGGCATCCAGCTTAGAGTGGAGGAACAAAGAAAACCAGGAGACAGGCTTCAGGTTTCTCTTCAGCCTGTTCAAGAAGTACTACCTTCCGCATCTCTTCCCCTCCTTCACAAAGCTCACAAATCTCTACAAGCCTTTATTAGGTAAGGAGGTGTTCATCACATTCAATAAATATGTCACCAGGAATTACTGTGTCACTGTATTCTGTCTGGCGGGCAGCACAGTGGCGATCGGTGAGCACATCTGCCTGACAATCCTGGATTCAAATTCGGTCTCTTGCATTCCTCTGTGGCATTTGCGCTTTCTCCCGATACTCTGGTGTCCTCCCACATTCCAAAATCATGCGTGGCAGGTTAGCGGAACACTCTAAATTGTCCCTGGGTGTGATTGTGAGTTGTGATGGGCTACCACTCAGTTCAAGGTGTACCCCGCCTCTCACCGAAAAACAGCAGGCGTGTGCTTCAGTACACCCGTGACCCTAATGAGAATATGCAGTACAGAGAATTGATGGATGGATGCGTTGTCTGTTTTATGTATGACAGAACAAAACAAAAAAATTCACATGTATTAATACTAGCATGTAGATTTCTTGTCTTATCTGCTATCCAAGAGGAGTGTCAAATCTGCTTTTGCCACTTAAGTTTTAACCCCTCAGGACACAAGCTTTCCTGTGTCATGACTCATTCTCTCTCTCTCTCTCTCTCTCTCTCCCTCCCTCCCTCTACTTCTTCTACAATTAGACCTCCCACATCACAGACCAAAACCCTTGTATGTGCCAGTGACAAGGAACAACGAGAGCACCTTCTGCACTAGGGACCAATACCTGGCTCCCCGTGTAGCCTTCATCACCTGGCTGGTCACTTTCTTCCTCAAGAAGAAGTATATCAGCAGCGCTGCAACAGCGCAGAATACAAAGAATGGCCCTGAAGTCCTTCCCAAACTCATCCAGGTGGGAATTATGCAACCGTGGATGTTGGTTTTGCGGTTAATTAAAAGCACTGTCAGGTCCCTTTATCCAGCATATTCTTGTAATCTGCAATACTGTGCAAAAGTCTTGGGTAATCACCAGCAAAAACAACCAAACCATTTTCATATAAGTCAGTCAATGATTGGTGTATGAAGCAAGGAATAAAATGCTGATAATGTGGGTAAAGCTAGCGACAGAGGAATATTCACCATTGCATTCACTGCTATAAATGCAACATGTCCTCCTTGCAGAGTCATATTTGAGCTTTCCTTCTGTTCATATTCCTCTATAGGCCAAGTAGTCATCCGTTTATTAGTTAAAATTGGAAGAAGCAAACAAAGAGAATTCTCAGGGCACGGAATCTTATGTTACAACTGGAGTGTCCCGGTTGTCGTAGACCTGGTACTCACATGTATGTCCATTAAACTATGTCCTGTATCTCACAAGTACGACGTGTCCAGACTGTCACTGCAGGCAGTAGCAGCCAGGAAAAGGAGAAGGAGAAGACATCAGATGGGGACACAAACGGGCCGACGGGGGAGCCTGAGAAGAGCCACTCCAACAGCAGCACACTCTCAGATCGACGGCCCAGCGATTCCAGTTTATGTAGCATTGAGGAGGAGCACCAGTACGTCTATGACATGGTGCATGCCATCTTACTATCCACCAGGGACAATGTGAATTTTGTCAACGAGGTCTTCCACCAGGTATTTATCGCACTCTTGTCAAGTATTTGTACTTCCTTGTAAAATGGACGCAATCTAATTACATTGTGTCTGGTGAGTTTGCCTGGAATTAAAGGAATTGCGTTGCCCTCTGCTGGCCGTGTGTTGCACAGATCCTTCCAGCTGACACAATTATGCAGCCTCATCACAAATGCAACAATTGTGTTCTTCTCTCTAAAGGCTTTCCTGTTACCATCCTGCGAAGCATCGGCGACCAGGAAGGTGATCAAAGTGTACCGAATGTGGATACTGCAGGAGAAGCCCAGCTTTATGACTGAGCCAGACAAAACTGCACAAGATGATGAAGTAGATGGTAGCACTGAGCAGATACTCAGCACAGAGAATAATAACATGCAAGCACAGGTATTGGTGGACATATTTTGACGATTGCATTTACTGGAAAAATGCGTGATCATGAAATTGTGGAATCTTAACATTTAGAATGTGTGCCGATTGCCACACACTGTTCTTGTCATTTATAAAGAGGTCGGAAATGTGTACATAATTCACATTTGAGTTTTAAATTGTGTGAGTTTGGTTATTTTTTCAATTAATCAAGCTGTTGGTAATTTTATTTAAAGGGGAAGAAGTCAACACAAAATATTTCTTGACAATAATATGTTCTAAATGCGGCCCGACTATTTAGTTCTGATTAATATTGGGTTTGTAGGATATATTTTAAGCAGCAAAATCCATTTAAGCGTTTTTCGTCATCGCATGGGGCGGGTATTTTACCACTTGGTGTTGATTGAAAATAACATTACAGTTGCTCAGGGCTCAGGTAACGACCAATCGTGCCTCGCCTGTTTTCTGAGTTTGGTCATGTGATGTTCGTAAGCTGAGCCGTATAATGTGTCCTGCAAGTTTCTGACATGGGTTGTAAAATTCCGTAATTGAATTATTGATCTAATTTTGAGAGGTTGACTGTCTTTTAACAGATACTTCAGAGTCACGGCCACAAGCGATCATCAAGTTGGGGAAGGACCTACTCTTTCAGCAGTGCGATCAGTCGAGGTTTTCTCACAGAGGAGAAAAACAGGGATATCAAGGCGGGCATCCAGCCCACACTCCAGGTCTGTCCGTTTTACATCGTTTTTACATGTCTGTCATAATACTAGATTACTGCATTCATATGTCTCCAAAATTGTAGGTGTTCCTGACAAACTCTTCAAATGTTTTCCTCCTGGAGCCATGCCAGGATGTGCCCAAGCTCCTGGAGAATCAGGTTGAGGTGTGCAAGTGCGTCCTGAACATCTACCGACACATGATCATGGAGCACACCATGAACACAGAGACCTGGTCAGTATTATCTCTCTCTCTCTCTCTCTCTCTCTCTCTCTCTCTCTCTCTAATACACACACGCACACGCACACACACCCACACACACACGTTGTCTTTATTCCGTTCCATTATTTTCAGGGAGCAGATGTTGCAGGTCCTACTGAGGATCACTGAAGCAGTGATGAAGAGGCCATCAGAAAACCAAAGAAAAGACGGCTTTGCTGAAAGTTTGGCATCCATCCTTTTTCGCGTATGTCTGCCCTTGACAAGTGTAATATTTATTTTATCAATTTATCAATTTTTTTTAAATGAGTTAGGAGAAAGGCAAATAAGACATTGCAAACTGTAGGTGGTTTCTTTTGTCATATTGTAGCGTTTGAACTCGATCTACGTATTCATATTTGTTCTTATGTTGCATTCAGACCATCATTGTGGCATGGGTGCGAGCCAACCTGTGTGTGTACATCTCTCGGGAGCTGTGGGATGAGCTGCTTTCAGTGCTGTCCTCTCTGACTTACTGGGAGGAGTTGGTGACAGAGTGGGCCAGCATCATGGACTCCTTGACGGCTGTGCTGGCCCGCTCTGTTTACGGCCTAGACATGGCCAACCTGCCTCTGGATAAACTCAGTGAACAGAAGGAGAAGAAGCAGCGAGCACGTGGTGAGGAAGACGGCAAAAAAAAAAAAACAAACAAACACACACATACACAAATACACCAAAAAAAAAAAAGCTAATTGCATTTTTATAATTTACCTAATGTAGTCAACAGATAATGAAAATTTCACCTCGGTATAGTTCACTGTGTCCCTTTCGTTTCTGATACAATACTCCTGCAATTCAGTTGAAAAACTAAGTGAAATATATTACAAAGGAAAATATATTTCATAAATTAATGTGGTTGGCCCAGGTGTGCACTCTCTTTTATATTTCGTCACATAGCTGTATTCCTAACTTTTCAAGTGCGTTTCAACACACATAAATATGTAGCCTGGTAACAAAGCCATCAATATTAAAATAGCTGCTGAATTACTGAAGCGGGTGCCACTTTTTTTTTCTATCTACATCTTTTTACATGGTTTTTGCCAAGACTGGAATTAATACAAATACAACATGCATTTCCGGGGTTTTTTTTCCCCCCCCACTTGCAGCATATAAGTTTTATTACTGTGAGTGTGGTGTCCTATATCTGCCCAGTTAGAAGTGCGAAAAATAAATAAAAATATTAAATAGTGATAAAACAGAGCACTTAAATCCCTTTTAAAAGTCCTAATATTTGACACTCAAATCTGATCTCGACAAGGTATGATAAACAATATGTGACCCAAAACAAAATAGACAAAGACATGCAGAAACATTATGGCAAGAATTTGAGCAGTAGCCTCATTTCTGCTAAATGCATCCTCTCCTACCCCAAATCCAGTGAGTTCTCATATCTATGCATGGAGCATTTGTGGCCACAAACAGGAATACAACCCCAATTCTGGGCCCGACTCATACTTTTGAAGTTTGCGTGGCAGTGGTTGCTGCTGCATTGGAATAACATCATGCAGCCAACCTTTTGCCAGTGTAACAAGGTGCTCAGCCCATGCCACACTCAAGCTAGGCAAGCCCCCACGACACTGAAGCCAAGGAATTGGCGAGACCCCGGCACAGACACCTTGCCGAGAGCCTGGAGTTCCACCCTATCCAGCACAGCCGAAGCGCTCAGGCACACCGCTAGGGTGCTCGGAGGGGAGGCCCCAAGGAACTGCCAGAGACCCAATACACGCACACACACAAACACACACACAAACACACACACACACACACACACACACACACGCACACAACAAATCCTTTTGAGCCAAGTCGTGCCTGCAAGCCCTGGAGGCCCAGGACCATGCCACACAGTCCTGACTGCATGGATAAAACCTTCTTTTAATGCTATGTAATTACATTTAAAAAGTACAGTACAATAGCAATCATATTTTAAAAACTATGCACATTTTAATTAATTTTTTTTTCTCCTTTGCACAGAAAATGTCATGTTATATCCAATGTATAAATTACAGTATGAGAGAATGTGTCGCATTCTCATACCTTGATCTCTTAAGACTAAATTAAAAATTTACCCCCCCCAAAAAAAAGATGATTACCAAAATAATACTGAAATGGTCAAGTGTTCTCTCCTTTGCAGGAGTGATTCAGGATTCCCAGAAAGGAGCCGCAGTGGCACGTTCCTTCTCACTAAGTTGGAGGAACCAAGGAGACCTGGGTGGGACAGGAGTTCAGGAACCAATGAGGATTCGTTCTGCCACCACGTCAGGTGCTCCTGGTGTGGAGAAGGCCCGCAGCATTGTGCGACAGAAAGCTTCTGGTAGGGACTTATTTATTATGACAAACTTGTCATTGTCAAATGAAACGTTATCCACCATTCATCACAGCAGGTCATTCAAATTTCTAATTAGATTTGGAATTATATTCCCCTGTTCACAGCAATATTCTGTTAATAGAGTTATTATTGTTGCTATTTAATTATCGAGTCCCAATTATGACTGTTGCTAGATTTAGTTGAGGTCATAGTAGATTTTATTTAGGTGAATATTTTCTTGATCCTCTGCCTTGGTGTAAGAAGCTGAAGCCACAAAGCTTCTGGTGCTCTCAGATTCATTGACTGCACTGAGATCCATGTGAGAGGCCCATGTATACACCAGCCCAGGTGCCAATGAAAAGCCAAACACCAATGAGAGAAAGCCCCAGCAGATGGCCCCTATTGTCCCCCTCGCATGTCATTGCACACTGACTCCATTTCCATGTCTTGACAGTATGTCAAAGGCTGGCTTAGAGGAGCCATTGTTACAGTTCAGTCCAGACGCAGCAATGGCCCTTATCTGATGGCGATGTGGCAGGCTCATTATAAGTTGAGAAGAGTAACTCTCTAAAATGCATTTCTGAATTTTTGGTCTGGACTGAATGGGAAAGATAAAAGAAACAATCCCATTTCTTTTCTGCAATTACCCGTAATGCTCTGAAATGACGAGCTCGGTGAACAAGTAGCAGCATTTGAGCCTGAAGGAAAAAAAGTTCGGACTGCGTGCGTGCGTGCGTGCGTGTGTGTGCGTGTTTGTTTGTAATATATGAAAAACAACTGCTTCAAATTCCATGCCCTTTCTTTGGGCCTAATTGGATTTTCCCCAATGATCTTCAAAGGCACCATGAGCCCTTCTCTCTTCTCCTCCAAAGAACGTCCACACTTCATTGTGTGACAGTTTGTGATAGTTTCATTAAGAAGGTAATTAATGCTCATTAATATGTATTCCTGGCAAACAATGGCAAGCCACAGCAGGCACAATATATTACCCACTGAAGGTAGTAATTAAAAAGTACTGAAAAAGACAACAGCAAGGTCCCTTTTCATTGCTCAAATTGACATTAGGCTTGGAAGTGTCAACCACATCCAACAGCCATGCCTCATCGTTGACCGTCGGAAATTGGCTCTACTCATTCATGCAAATACAAACTCCTCTTGTTGTGCTTTAACATGTTTTACTGTGTCAGTGCTGTTTGGATTTCAGTACCGGTAATTGAAATCTAAATTATAATTTTGCAAGATACATTCATTCTCTTAAAGTTACCGGTAGTTAAAAACCTTTGCAGTATCAGGCAGTAGTGAATCCTCTGAAATCTTACTACACCAGATTTACCAAATTGACTATAACTTTGGACGAGAATATGATTTAGATGCAAATAAGGCATACAGTCAATGTAAAATCTCAACATGATTTTCTGTCTCTTTGTCTGGTGAAATCGGATTCTAGCTGTCAGTGTAAACATGAGAACAAACAACAATCTTAAAGAGGAAGTCCGTCTACAAATTATCTTTAAAATAATATGCTCTATGCGCCTCCACTCGTCTAAACACGGCATTTGGATTAATATTGTGTTTGTGGAATATAATTTAAGCAGCAAAATCTACCCGTTCTTAGGCATATCAATGGGTGACCATTTTGCCACATTGTGTCAACTGACATCACAGTTGCTCAAGGCTCAGGTAACAACAAATCATGGCTCACCTGTTTTGTGAAGATGAGTTTACCGTAAAGATTTTTTTTCAGTTGATGTCCCCTTTAAGAATTACTGTATGATTCAATTCAATGTTATTTATATGGCACCAATTCACAGCAGAGGTTTTCTCAGAGCACTTTACTCATGGAGCAGGTCAAAGACCACGCTCCACACTTATTTAAAGACTAACTGTGCCCCAACTGACCTTCACGTGAGGAAGCACTAGGTGACAGAGGCAAGGAAAAACTCCCTCCTAGGAACAGACCTGGAGCACACCCAAAACTCAATGTGGGGCGGCTGTCTGCCTCGCCCGGTTGGGTTAGAGAGTAGATAAGGAGATTTAATCAGGTCATCATCTGCTGTTATATATTTAACATTATGCATTTTAGTACATTTTGGTATAGATTTGTATTGCACTGCCCTCAAGTTGCTTTATGTGCCCATGAGTTTGAGTGTTTAGACTACTGGGGGCACATAGAACATATTTTTGAAAAGAGAATTTTTGATGGTGAAAGAGTGTAATGCTATATCTCAACAATGTAGTACTGCATAGTTCTCAGATTTAGCAGGTTTTCAGCAAATATCTTCAAACACATATCATGTATTTCGAAAGAAAACTCAAAAATCACTCTACCGGGTCTTTAATAAATGCATTTGTGCTGGGGGGGTTTCCCCACATACTGTACTCCCATCATTTTTAATACTGTCTTTATTCTCTTTATTCCTTCCTTTTTCGCATTCTGTTCTCTCTTTGGCTGATGGAAGCTAAACGAAGCCAGTCCATCAGCAACTGTGTTCACCTATGTGAGGCTTTGCCCACTACTAAAAGCGTTCCTAGCCTGCTCCACACTGTGAGCTCTTTCTTGCCTGGTATCTCTTCTGGTAACTCTACTTGCTCTCACAGACTCTCAGGTAAAGTGGCTTTGGAGAGGTGAATGTACAGTATTTGTGTGTTTGTGGCCTCCACCCATCCTGTATCATTCACCTGTCGTCCCATCATCAACTGTCTTCTGTACCACTCACTGGTGCAGAGGGTTTGGAGTGTTTCCACAGACTCTCCTGTGGAGAAAAACTTGGGCTTGCGCCTCCCATTACCACTGCATGTGTGCATGCCTTAATTTTTGCTCGTTTGTGTTTACACATCAGGATTTGTATACAGGTTGATTGATCATTTCACCATTGCTTCATTTTATGCTCTCCTTTGCCCTTTTGTCCAGACGTGGAGGAATGTCAGCTCTCAGAAGGGGGAGAAGAACTAGGGGGAGGAGATAGCCCGCTCCTTCGTAGCAGCAGCACCTCAGACATCACGCAGCAGCTTTCTGACACATTACAAGGTACAAACCTACAGTGCTGTGAAAAAGTATTCCATCTATCTATCTATCTATCTGTCTGTCTTTCGCTAAGTTGACATATGTAAATACAAAAGGCTGATTTTATTTATTAAGAAAAAAAAGTCCAACCCTGTCTGGTCCTATGTTGAAAAAATAATTGGTTGCTCATTTACAGAGAAGGTTTTTGTCATGTCGTTTATACTGTACAGCGCTGCCGAAAGCTCTTCTGTGTGAAATTTCTCCGCCACCATCTCTTCTGTTGGATGCATCTTTGGTCATAACTGCAGCACAACTCCCAAATTTATTTCTTTATTTTTTTAACTTCAAGCGACGATGCCTCGACAGCAAACGCCCCCTTGTGTTTCCATAATTGTAATAAAAATAATAACCTCTCATAATAACCTCTTCAACAATCAAACCTGAGAATTCCCGTATTTTCACAACCAAAGGACAGCACAGCATTAAGAGATCAGCATGAGCACAGACTTTGATAGTTGGTGGCTGGTGTCTGTGACGTGTCCTTACCGTTTTAATCAATGACAACATAATACATTTTTACAATAATAATCTAGTTTTTTTCCTCCCTTGTATCTCAAATTAGCTATTAAACATGATTTTGAGGTTGTGTTAATGTTAGTGCCGAGCTTTATGTGATAGCATTATCGAGAACTAAAAGTTCAGTCTTCACTGTAAATATATAGCACAGTATATACAGTAGAGTCAACAATTGGAAGGTGCCTGGTAGCTTGCAATATAAATATTACAATCTACAACAATGCACATCCATTCATAAAGTGGGTTGTACAAGAAAAAAGTCATCGTGTTTTACATGCAATGTAATCATATCTGTGACCACGTTTTTATTCCATCCCTATCTCTGTCTCTATTTATCTCACGTCCTGCTCTCCAGCCCAGAAGAGAGAGCCTTCACCTACTTCCTTTGGTTCCGATAGCGGAACATCGGAGAGGCGAGAGTGCAGTGAACTGCCAGTTGTGAGAAACCTATTTGTATTGTAATGTTGTATCACCTATGTCGAAATAGAATGAATGACAATGCCAATGTATTCTTTCTATTTTCTTGTGCTCGTAGATCCTGATCCGCCAAAGCAGCAGTCCAGTTGAGACAGAAAATAGTGCTGAGGGGTACCATCACTACTCAAGGGCCAAGCTCAGAGAGAAAAGTGAGAATAAAGTCTCTGATTATGTCCTCATCTGATCTATTAATTTAATGTTTACCTTAATTACTAAATTCTTCTGTTCCATTTCAAGCACAACTTCCGCTTGCCTTCATTTCCCAGGTGAGAGTATTAGCAGCGAGACATCGAATGGCTATTTGAATGAAGCTGAGGTCACCTGGCAGGTGTTTGACGAGGAGGCTGACAATCAGTCCACCCAGTCAGCTCACATGGACGTGACCGCTGACCCGCAGAGCCAGGGGAGTCTGCTTCTCAGTCACCATGAGGCTCTAGCAGGTGACAACTCACATTGCGTACAAGCTTCACCTGTGTGGGTTTTCGCGATTTTACTGCAGAAGACGTAGGAAGGTGGATGTAGTACAATAGATGCTTTAGTTTTAGTCTGCTGTGTAAGGATCGGGGTTTGTAGTTTCCTTCCATGAATGGAAGACAAAGTGAAGAAGGTCAATGTGCCGCTCAGTGAGACGTGTCCCTCACCCTGACACACCTGACACACTGTTGTGACTTTTATTTGTTTGTGATCATCATGAAGCTTTTGTCTTTGTCATTCTACTCCCCTCCCCAAACCCAATTTTATCTCTGTCCCTTGTTTATAGGTCCTGAGTGTTCTCTGTCTCCTCACTCTTCACCCCCACCCCAACACAACATCCACTTCCACTATCCTCAGAAACCCCCCGCCTCCCCAGCCTTAGTGGTGCACACTGAGTGCCCGCAGGATTGCCCCCTGGACGACAGCATTCATCAGTCTGTCTTACATATGCCACACCACTTGGGTACTGCTCCATAGCTGCCAATCATCACCGAGTCCTCATGCGCTCTAATTTTTAGCCTCAACCTTGACTTCACTTCTTGACATAGTTTTATCCTCACGGCTCACACATCACATCTTCACACATCTGTTGCTTCATTGAATTGAAACTAATAATCTCTCTATCGATCAGTGGTGACAAACATTCTGCATAAATTACCACAACTTTACCTGACACTTTTCAGTTTCTCATCTAACCCGTCTCCCTTTGTCACTGCTCTGTTGCCCACTAAGTGGTGCTGTCTTCCTACAAATCCATAAGAACTCATTTGGCTGTTGCACGTGACCATGTCTGTTTTCCAAAAGTATTTTTACAGTTTAGCACTTCAGTGGACAGGGATTGAATCAACTAGTGACAGCATGATCATCCCTGAATTACAAATTTGGACAAACATACCACATTATAAAGTCATAAAGTCTAAATGTTCATTCAGCACTTTTTGATTAAATCCTATGTCTCACTGAAGAAGGTTTTGACTCATTCTGTAACAGTCACAGCGACAAATCGGGTTGCTGCCAAAATAAAGTTTATTATCAAATCCAGACTTTCATGCTTTCTCTCCCCTTTTTGACCATGCAGACAGTAGCGAGTGTCTGACTGATGATGTCAGCATCATTGCGGGTGGGACCCTGACAGGATGGCATGCTGATTCAGCCTTTGTCCTGTGGAGGAGGATTTTGGGTATCCTTGGAGATGTCAACAACATCCAATGCCCCAAAATCCACGCCAAAGTGTTTTCTTATCTCTATGAGCTGTGGCAAAAACTTGCAAAGGTAAAATGGAAAACCAGTCAAACTTTCATATCAGTAAAAAAAAATCATCACACGCCATTTCCTGCAGAAATGACTGTTATTGGTCGTTTTAACTCCTCTCTGTTAAATTTGTGTTTCCAGATTCGAGATAACCTTGGTATCAGTGTGGACAATCAGTCTTCTCCCCCACAGCCTGCTTTCATTCCTCCACTCCGTATGCTTGCCTCCTGGCTATTCAGGGTACCAACAACACGTAACCCCTGACAACAGCAGTTAACATTACTAATACCGCTGAAGCATTATCTGAAAAATGTGCACCATTTTGTTATGGGTTTACAGAACAGAAAGGCAACTGAATGCTGTCTAATAGTTCTCAAAAAAAATTATGGTACCCTTGAGCAATGCAAATTGACAAAGATTCTGGGATCATGTCCTTGGACAGATGAGGCAAAATTAGATTTTTTTTTATTTTATTTTTTTCCAGGGCACACCATTGTATGAGAAGCTTACAAGGAACAATACTGTCCCTTTTTTGAAACATAGAGGAGACTCACTCCTGTTTTGTTGCATCCAATAGAGGAAATCTCAGGACTATGACAAAGACGCATTCTGTAGCAAAATGTGCTGCTCGGTTTCACTCAAAAATGGTCAACAACAAAGCATTGAACTGTTCTGTAGCAGCATTTTGAAGAATTAGGTCGAACACAATTTTTGTCCAGGCCAGAAATAATTCTGTTTGATCACAAAAAAAGAGAAAAAAAGAAATGACTGATTCTCAATAAGTAATTTTTAGCAAATGTGTACTCCAGATTTTTGTTCACCAACAATTTTGTCCGTGTTTAGTCATGATTTAATGCAACCTGTACTCTGCATTTCAGTAGTTTGGGCAACTGTCCCTTGATTTTCAAAGTTGCAAATTGCACAATTGAACCTCCAACAGTTTGTATACAACAAAGAATCAGCGATGATACCTTTAATAAGAAAACAATAACAAAAGTGTCTGAAACAGCTAGTGCAATTTGACTGACGGACCTTTTTCACAATGCATGTTCTTCTTCATGTTCCACACAGGCCACCATGCTACCAGCAGATTACAAAGAAGGCAAACTGCAGGCTTATAAATTGATCTGTGAGATGATGACCAGACACCAGGATGTCCTTCCCAACACTGATTTCCTGGTGCACCTCTACCACGTCATGCACAAAGGTTTTACTAGCAATGATCAGGTATGACCAGCAGGTTGCACCACTGTAACAGCATTTAATTCAAGCGCTTCGCTACACCTTGAAACCCCAAATGATCATTTTGTGTCATTTCTGGGAAACATTGGTTTACATTTGCTAGTAGTACTAAATTGACATTGACTACTGTTTTTCTTTCAGCAATTTGAATTGGTTGTAGTTCGGGTAATCATTCTTCATGTACACACTGAACAAAAAAATTAATGTAAAATCTCTTGTTTTTTCATAAGTAGGTGAACTCAAAGAGTTAAGACTGTCAATGTGCAACAAAACACCTTACTCCCAGTAATTGTTCACAAAATTGTCTAAATCTGTGTTAGTGTGCAGTCCTTCTTTGCCAAGATAAACTCACCACCTCGTCAGGCATTTCAAGATACTGGTTAAACTGTACGGTTGTTGCGCCGGTGTGAGCCCACCACAAAAGGCCACCCAAAATTGTGCAGTTTTCCTGTAACGGTGCTGGAGGTGGGCTCGACCAGTCAGTATCTGGTGTGACCACCATTTGCCTCATATGATGCAATACATCTTCCTCATATATGTAGCGTTGATCGGGTTGTTGCTTTTACGGCCTATGGAATGTCGGTCCACTCCTCTTGATTGGCTGTGCAAAGTTGTTGGATATTGGAAGGAACCAGAACATGCCGCTAGATACGCCAATCCAGAGCAAACAGAGCAAACATGCTCACTGTGTGTCATGTCTTTTGAGTATGCTGGTTATGCGAGAACTGGGATGTTTTCAGCTTCCAGGAGTTATGTGCAGAGCCTTGCAATATGGGACCGTGCATTAACATGCTGCAACATGAGGTGATGGTCGTGGATGAATGGCACAATGGGCCTCAGGATTTTGTTTCTGTATCTCTGTGCCATCAATAAAATGACCTGTGTTCATTGTCCATAATATGATGAACCCAGAGAGATGCTTTCTGAAAGTTTGCGCAATAATTCTAATGCTAGCTTATTGTTGCAGCAGATTTCAAGGTTTGTGTAGTTGTGAGCCTAATTGGATGTATTGGCAAATTCCCTGAATCAACATTGTAGACTGCTTTTTGTAGGGAAATAAAAATTCTATTCACAGGCAACCACTGTGGCGAACATTAATGCAGGCAGTGTGTCAACTGCACGCTTTTGAAAAAGTTATGGGGTTGTGCTGTGTGATAAAACTACAATTGAGTGACCTTTTATTGCCAAAGGCAGACCTGTGCCACAAACCTGATGGCTCCTCAGGATCTTCATACTCCGCACTTGTGAGGTGAATGAGAAGCACTCAATGATTTTTTTTTTTTTTTTAGGATATTTGAGAGAAAGAGGGCTTTTGTGTCCATAAGACAAGTCTTTGCTCATGAAAAATGCGAGGGAAAAAAAACAAAAGTGATGCATTTGTATTTTTTCAGTGTAACATGAAAATGATAACTGTGCTGCAGCCTTTCTTTTTCTTCCAGCATCAGTTTCTGACCTCACACATTTCCACAGACACAATCACACCCTTGCAGAGTGTGACCAATTAAAGCTGCAACGTGGGACTTTATTCTTCATTCCATTTCAGATCCTGGAAGCATAGCGGCCGAGGACCCTTTTCCACATTGTATACTTTGGTGAACTTAGTGAGGATGCACATACAGCATATAGTCTCGGCAGTAGGCACAGTATCTTCGCTTTTGATGTCATGTTAAATAATTGCCTGCCAACCAGCTGTGTTGAAGAATTCTGCTGTCTTTTGGCATCTTCCGGTCTTCCTTTCGTCGCACCCTTCATCATATTTAAATCTGGCCTAGCTCCACTCCTTCCAGACGATGTAGAGTGGAGATGAATGAAGGGACCCTCGCCCCCACCCAGAAACAAAGAACGGGATAAAAGTGTGGATGGGGGGTATTTTGGATACAAGTATGTGTGTGCGTGTGCAGTTGCCCTGCTGGCTGGGTTTCCGTTGCACCTTGGCAGTGCGACAAGCTTATTAGAATGTTTTCAATATCGTTCAATAATGTTTTGAGCCCCTGCCGCGTATTCGTGATTAATTAAGGATTGACGTCTGTCGCGCTCCCTTAGACTGACAAGTCGGCCGGAGGCCCAGTGTGGGCTGGCCTTGGTGTGTGTGTGTGTGTGTGTGTGTGTGTGTGTGTGTGTGTGTGTGTGTGTGTGTGTGTGTGTGTGTGTGTGTGTGTGTGTGAAGGAGCGGGAGGACAGCCAGGGGATTGTAGTGTAGAGTGGAGCAATGAGGGGGGCACGCTGAGGAACAAGGCAACATTCTCTCGCTTTTGTTACAGCTCTGTATAATGCGTCAGGGGGCCAGAGCCAGGCTGGCCACTGAGGCGTGCTCAAATTGGCCAGAGAAAAGAGTCCTCACACCACACAATAGAGGACAGCCGCGCGCCTGCTTAACATAAGAAAGTGGCTCTTACTCTACCCCTCCTCCTCTCTCTCCGCCTCTAAACCACCTTACCCCACCCAAAAAGAGGAAAAAGCAGATCTTTTGATGTGTATATAAATTAGCTAAAGATTTTGGAGTCATCCGTTCTGTGCATTTGTTGTAGATGGCTTTTAAATTGCGGTTTGTAATTACTTGCGTTCGTAGTTTGATAATTGAAGATATGATCATTTATAATATGCTTCGGCACAGATAAATTGACATAATGATATAATCTGTTGTAAAACACTCATTGGGCGGGGGTGGGGGTCCCATGCAGTGTAAGTCGTCACCATTAAATTCAGTTAAGCGTCGAGCAAATTGACAGTTCCCTTCGAGGGATTGTCCCTTCAACTGACAAGAGGGACAAGGTCATGGCCATTGTCCTTGTAGTTTGTCCTCCTCTGCTCTCATAAAGACCTGACATGCCATGACAGCGGTAATCCAACCAAGAGGTCAACAACTTAAGTAGCTGCTCCCCAATTTGGTCCAGGTACATGTTTTTGACACTTGAACAGATATTTGCAAATATGACTCTCAAGAAGCTTTCTTCCAACTTTTATGGGCAATCCCATTCATTTTTTTTTCTCATTCGTTGATTTATTTCGTCGAAATGCAGAAATGTCCCTATTTAGGGTATAAGATTGGAGACAAATAATTGTATTTTACGGATGACATAATGTCAGAGACAACCCTGTCACTCCAGAAGCCGGCAGGTGGACAGGAAGTGCTCTGTTTGAAACGAGGTCAAGGGAAAAGGTCTGAGGTGGCTCAATTCCGAGGTACATTAATGCTTCTTTGGTTGATATGTGGGACCATGCCTTTCGCCAACACAGGCCTCAATTCCCATTTTTATACACTCCTTAAATTTAGGCACCAGAAAACACTTTGCATTCTCCATTTGTGTCCTCCTCTAAAATGCTCATTTCAGGCAATCAAGCAACAGTTTGTTGCTCACTAATTACCTTTGACTGCACTGCACATTATGTTGCAGAGGTCAATTACCTACAAAATGAGGGTAAAATGCACCCTCAAGCTCTCCCCGCCAATTTTCTGCAGGCAGTGTATCCTGTTGGATCCGCTTCCTGCATATTACCTCTGTGTTTATTCTCGTTCTTTTCGGTTCAGCTGCACTCTGTGTTTGTCAAAGCTCCGGGTTATGGGTGAAGATAGAAAGGAGGGTTCCGTAAACCCAAGAGAGTGGAGAAAAATTGTATCTGTTTGTGTTTGCCGAGTTGCTCTGTTAGTTTAGATAGAAACGGGCGCCGATGTTTGAACTGTGGGATTTGCACAGGTTTATAGCCAAGAAGACAGGTGTTTTCAGGCTGGACCTTGCCTTTGTACACACGCATGCACGAGTGGAGTGGAAGATAAGAGAGCGAACGGGCACAGTGCATACTCATACGCAGTGCATGTGTTTTATCCTGCGCTGACCACAATCACTGTTGTATTCCAAGCTACAAACACAACCGGTGTTTTACCGCGTTATCCTATGTTCTATTTGCCGTTCCAACCGTGATCCAACTACGTTTTTCACTACACATCCTTGAGCGGTTTATGCAACCTACTTAGCAAATGCCACTGTTGAAAGAATACCCATCTGCCAATGAGCTGCCTGTAGCTCAACAATACAGCATCATGCCTACAGCACAAATTACTGGTTTTCCTATCTGCGTACATAAATGCCATTCACAAAGGTTATAATCTTTTGTTTCCCTATTTTTCCTCCCTGGCAATCCATCTGCTGCCTCTCTTTTTCTGCTGTCTTTCTCTGCCACTCTCGTTATTTTCTGTTGCTGATTTTTAGTATCCCGTCGACTGCCTTGCCACACTTAAAATGTTGAGGCGACCCGTTGCAGGGGGGAAAAAAAAAAGCTTTCTCCCTACAATGTCTCAGACATTGTGCCCCATTTACAAAACAATTCTGTCCTTGTGTACCTCCAACCAAGAGGCTGTGTCCAGGTCAAATTTACAAAGCTTGTTTAACTGCAACTCTGCTGTATGATTGAATCCCATTTCCACTGAAGTCGGGACGTTGAGTATAAATGTAAATCAAAACAGAACATAAAAGTGGTTCACTTTGTGAAAGGAGTCTGAAGATAACAAGATACGAGCTTGCCTTTGACTGGTGAGATGGAAAGTGTGTGATGAATGAGTGTCAAAAATCAGGCTTGTATTTGTTTTTTTATTTATTTTATTTACAGCTCAGCATCTACAGTAGTTTCCTATCAACATGATGCCAGATTTCTTCGTCATGTCTTCAGAATTTTTCATTTCATCTGCTTTTGAAGTCTTTTGGTTTTCCTAAATGGTACTTGAAGCACTGTTGCATTCAGTTTCATTTTTTGCACCTCACTGTATCGCTTAAGAAGAAGTTGGACAACCATATATTTTGAATCGGTCTTTTTCTGGCCACTGGATATTTGTGGTTCATTACATTTTTTTTTTATTCTTTCTTTTTTTTTTTTTTTTAATCCAAAAGATGTATTTTATGAACAAACAAAAAAATACAGAAAATTCCCATTCATTTTAAGGGAAAATGTTTTATCTGTGTGTGTGTGTGTGTGTGTGTGTGTGTGTGTGTGTGTGTGTGTGTGTGTGTGTGTGTGTGTGTGTGTGTGTGTGTACACACACACACACACACTTATGGATTATATACATATTTCACAGTAATCAGACAATTAATTGGTAATGAGCTTTTTTCTGCCAACTATTGGAATCAGCATTGGCCCCCAAAAAAATCTATCTCGGTCGAGCTGGAGTAAACATGCCCCTGTCACAGCTTTTTTGGAACTTTGTTGATGGCATCAAATTCGAAATGAGTGAATAGTTGAAAATGTGTACGTTGAATAATCAATAACTTGTCTTTTTAGTGTAGTCCAGTGTTTCATCAAGTACCGGTGTACCAGTAACATACTGAGATATTTAGCCGGCAAAAATGACTCGATACCATCGTTTTGAAGCACAAAGACAGAAAATGTAGTGAAAGCACTCCACCTCTGTATAAGAAGGGGCAGGTGTGCAGTATGTCGTACAAATATAAAGATAGAAGGAAGAAGATGGGGTGACATTATGGGGCTGTGTTGGGCCATCATGTAGCTACAGACTGGACCAGTACAAATTTATCCACTTAAATCAATCCGCCCATTTTACTGCATCGCCTGTTCTGTGTGTGTTATGATTAAATCCTTTCTCGAAGTATTGTATAATCTCAAAGTCAAACCGTTGGTATTGTGACAAGACAAGTGTATTCAATTTACTATAGGTCGAACAGAATGTGCAAATCATTGTATTCTATTTTTATTTATTTCACATAACGTACCAAATGCATTGTAATTGCGGTGTGTACTTACGTGAATTCCATTGTTGCTACCCGCTACTGCAGATATTAAAAGTTAATGAGATATTTTTGTCACCAGGATACTTTGAACACCATTATCAGTTCCTGCTCTCCAAGATTTTTCTTCCTCGGCCTGCCGGGTTTCACAATGCTGGTTGGCGATTTTATCACTGCTGCTGCCCGTGTCCTCAGTTGTGACTCTGCAGAGGTACACCCAGGCTTGAACGTCTTTCCGTATTCTTCCCACCCTGCTTTACGCGAAGCAGAACAGTTGATGCATCATTTTTTTTTCCATGCCAAAAGTTGTAAAGGATACCAAAATAAGTACTGTATCTAGTACCATGCTATTATAGGGCAGCCTTTTGTGGGTGGTCCCGTATTCAGCGGTTTGCCACTGGTAGGGTGGATCTAGACACACTGAAGTCCGCTGAGTTAGTTGAAAGAGAATTGTCCGTCAAATGACATCATAATGGATTTATAACCAACCCGTAAATTGTACCTTACACTATTTATGCACACCATTAATAAGAAAAAGATAAGAAAACCTTTGTCTCACAATGGAGAAATTCCCATAGATTAACTTTCCTGTTTATATTTATTGCTATTTATTTTTAATTACTTTAAAAGTTAATACATTTCGAAAAAGATTTTGAGTCAATGTGATAGATGTCTTTTTTCCTTGCGCTAGGCTCCCAGGATGGAGGCTCAAACAATTCTTGGCTCGTTAGTGTGTTTCCCAAACCTTTACGTCCACGTTCCAGTCCTGCGGAGTGTCCCCGGCTCTGATGATGTCCTTGTAGGAAAGGAGGATATCAAGGTAAATCACCAAAGTGGGCAAATCCTCAAGGGGAAATTATTTTTAGTATTTTTCATTACTGTATAGGCTTTAAAACCACGGTTGACTTCAATCCCAGGATGCACATTGTAATCTATGGAGTCCATGTGAGCGGAAGGACAAGACTATAATCTGATAATGTGTTTTTGCACTTCAGGATTATCTTGTCAATATCCTGCTTGAGGCTGCAACAAAGGAACACTGTGAAGGGGCCAGGTATGTACTTACATTGATGAAATGGCGTGTTTAACGTTGATACCATGTAATGCACACGAATAGGAAATCAAAAATAGAATGATGACAATCTTAATGTGTGAGCTGAGATATGTGGTGTGAAGCCATTCTTTCTGAATCGGATGTTGTTTTTACTTTTATACTTTTTACTTTTATGTCTTTTTTTAATTTTTTTATGTTTTATTTTTTTGCACTCGAGGTGTATTGCGGTGTGCAGCCTGGGCCTGTGGGTTTGCGAGGAACTCATGCAAGCAAATATACATGATCAGGTGAAAGATGCCATCAATGTCCTGGGAGTAACACTTAAGGTCAGTGGCTAACTGATGTGATTATCTATAAAGCAGAGCTGCAGTTCCAGTGTACAGTATATCATCCATGTACTGGCACACTATATGGATAAAAGTACTGCAACTGAAAATAGAAGAATAATATGCAGGTAGTCTCTCTTCTATTTGGAACGATAACTTAACTCCTCTAGGGGCGGGGGGAACTTTTGATGGTATTTTGGACTGTCTTTATGGAGTTCATCCTGTTGGGGTCAGGAGTGACTGTGGGGGGGGGGGGGGACTTGTTCACAATCTCCATTGCACTTCATCACTAAAAGTGTGTGAAAACCTAGAGGTTATGGGTTTAAAACTCTTCCACAACAAACTCACCCAACCGTGCCTTCATGGACCTTGCTTTAATGCACAGAAGGCATTATTAGTTAAACAATTGAAAAAAACAAAGTCAAAAGCTTAGAATTGTCCAAAATGTCATTGTATGCTGGGGCTCGATCCGCACACCTGATTATTTGGTAAACTGAATCAAAGAGATACTGAATCAAAGAAATATCTCTATACTTTGTCTGTATAGTGTACCGGTATACTGAGGTTTGGTGAGTACCGGTATTTCATTTGATGTCCGTACAAGGTGTCTGTAAAGTCTGGACACCAAGGTAAAAATACAACTTCAAACAACATCTTCAATATCAATACAGCTTTTTATTTAAAGAATATCTTCAGTATGATTTCCTTCATTTGCGACAATTGATGCGTTCTGGAAAATGTTCACGTATTGATGCAATCAGTCCCCGTTGCTTTCAATTTTGGTACATTCACTCCTTTTTTGTTGAGTCAGTTCATTTAAATTAATATTAACCGTTGAGTCAATGTCATTGTCAACTCTTTCTTCTTTTGACGAAGTCTTGCTTCATCTATGGAGAGAAAAAAACAAAAGCACATGTTTTACCAGTCGAATTAAATAGAAAATATCCAATTGTGCTTTGTGTCCAGACTTTATGGATACCCTCTATTTCTTTGCCTCAGTCTTCTAATTTTGCTCGTGGGTATTTTTGTAACAGTCCTCCATTTCCTTTGACTGAAGAGATCCTGAAACCAGTTGAGGCTTTTTCTTTCTTCATTTAGGGGGGCCTTGTGTGGTGGCGTAATTTTGAGACTGCTCTCTGTCTCTGTAGATTTAAGCAGCTACATCGCCCATCTTCCTGCTCGAGCAACCCCCCTCCCTTCCATCTCTAATGGAGCAGTAATCACTCCCCTGTACAACTTGACACACAGACTCCGCCAGCCCCAAAATAGAGGGTAGGCTGGTTAGAGTGTGTTGTACAGAGGGAGGGGGTTGAAGAGTGGCACTGACAGTCTCTCTTTTCTAAAAGCAGGTGCTGAACTCTCAGGGCCTCTTTTTGTGTTTGGCCATTTCTGCACTCATTGCATTATCTACCCTTGTTCCATTTTGAGAGTCATTTAGCTGGAAGAAATGTGAAATTTTCTTACTGAACTGAGAATTTGAAATCACTGAAAAAATTCACATTTGGGTAGAAATGGTCACTGCTCAAGTCTCGTCTCTGATGAGTCTGGAGGAAATGATGCATGGATGGGATTTGAAATGAATTTATGATGATTAGCTACCAAAATGTGGAAAAAATTCTGAACTTGCACAGAACTTGATGTTTGTTAGTATCGGTATACTGTCTGCCCAAACTTCTCTTTATTGTGACAGCAATGTCCTCCGCCGCCACACACAATGCCACCGACTATTCCCCAACCAATGGAAAAATATGACAGTTGGTTACTCATTCCCGCACATTGGACGATTTAGCTCAAGGATTCCCTAAGTCGTCCCGTATCACCTTTTTTTAGTGTCAGTCAAGGAAAATAAAGGTTGTTACAGAAAGAGGACACGTGTGAGAACAAAGACAAACATTGGTGATGCATTGAAAGGCGGGGCTCACTCCCATTCATTTGAATGTAATACGCTGCTCGCATATATTTTTACCACAGGCTTCACCGTTTCATCCACAGGTACATATGAAGTTAAAAATCTGGTTACGGTACTTATTGTTGTAAAACACAATATGCATACTATATATTGTATGCTGTATTTCTATCACTTGATGGCGTTTCCCGCTCACTTATTACCTGGAAATGAATTTTGACTCATATCCACTCTCACTGTCTTTATATTTACTGAATACACTTGAAACAACTTGGATGCATGCACGCCCACTTGAAAATATATGAAACACATTGTGACTTTTGGTTTGTTTCATCAAGGGTTTCAAAGCGCGTCTCACTTGTTTGACGTTTGGCACAGTTTTTACATCTGATATCCTTAGGTTTTTCTTTCAAAATGCATCTGACCACCCAAGATTGTTTGCGATAGCTTGGTGCCAAACAAGCCATGTCAGCATAAAAACAAATTTTCTCTGTACTAGCCATTGCCTCGTTCTGATTTGTTGTTTGCAAGCAGTTAGGCTCACATACTCACATGGTCAACAAAAATGAATGCCACGAGAGGATTCATTAATTTTAATTTCTTAGCATATTTTTTGGTCTATAAATCGCTCCGGAATATAAATCGCACCAGTCAAAAGAATGCATCATGAAGAAAAAAACCAATGTGTGAAGTATGTCGTAAGTTTGTTGCCACCTCTCACAGCAACAAACTAACCCTACAAAACCCCTGACATGTGTGCTTAACAACAACAACAGCAACAAACTAAGGGCAGCAAGCTCACTGTTTTTACAATTTTGGGTGCCGATCTGAGCTCTAATTTTAGTATATATGAGTAGTCTCAGGACCAGAGCCAAACTATGAATGCAATTTACAGTCTGAAAAATATGGTGTATTAACCACATGTCAAACAACAAACACATTCTTCTTGTCACTGTTTTTTCTTTTTTTTTTTGGTGTAGTTTGGAAACAAAGCTGTGGCTCAGGTCGCCTGTGAAGTGTTTCAGCTCCTCATCTCTCATTGGGAGCCTCTCCAAAATGTGGAGCCGACTCTGCCTAAGAAAATCATCGAGGTAATATTCACAACCACCACTCTAAGTGTGAGTCACTGGTGGTGGAGTGCAATTGTCCCCAACCACCGATCCGCGGGCCATTTGGGAACCTATACATCAGCCTATCCATTACCTTCCATAGAGCAAATATACGTAGGCTGGATAGAGATTTGTGATATTACGGTGATCAGATGTGGCGGAAATGTGCATGACACAATCAGTAGGCCTGTTCATAGTCTACTTTGGTTTGCAAGTTGAAGATGTAAGCATGGCCTGAATGTGTAACTAAACATGCATTGATGGGCATCCATGACTTGGACTTATGTTGCAAACATGAAACTATTTTGACGAGAAGAGTTCCTCACCATTGCATGTGTGGCAGTATCTCCAAAGCGTTGTGGAATAAGGATTAGCATGACCAATGTAGCACTTACTAACTAACTGTGCAGCCACTGGACTAAAGCAGCAATCAATTATCATCTTTTGATTCATTTGCAAGTAGCAATGATGCTAACACTGTATGTAGAATCATAACTTCATTGTTTATCGTATTTTCCGGATTATAAGGCGCTCCGGAGTATAGGTCGCACCAACCATAAAATGCATAATGAAGAAGAAAAAAACATATAAGTCGCATTTTGGGGGGAAATTTATTTGATAAAATCAAACACCAAGAACATACATGCCATCTTGAAAAGCAATTTAAAATAAAAATAAAATAGAAAACAACACCCTGAATAAGTGTACGATATGCTAACGTTACATGATGCATAAACGACGAACTGAGAACGTGCCTGCTATGTTCAATCAATAGTTATTCAGATAACTATAGCATAAAGAACATGCTAACAAATTCACCAAACCATCAATGTCACTCCAAATCACTAAATCCAATGGAATCTTCATCCTCTGTGTCACTTTCAAGCAACTACACCAACTCCGGAGGTAGAAGATGCAGCGCTTCCTCTTCTACGTCACTTACGTCACACTCATCGTGGTTTTATCAATACAGGTCTAGAGCGGCCTCTTGTGGTTTAATATGAAAATAACATGTGAAATGATATAATAATGTGTTAAAAATTTCACCCATAAATCGCTCCAGAGTATAAGTCGCACCCACAGCCAAACTATGAAAAAAACTGCGACTTATAGTCCGGAAAATACGGTATATTTTCAGATGTATTCATTTTTCCTGAGGGGTCAAGTTTTACTAGTATTATTATTTTGTTCTGCATTTGTTGTCCAGTTGAGAAAAAAATGTTTTCATAATTTTCCTTACTGATCATGTTTTTTATCTAGTTTGAAAAATGTAAAAATATACTTAATGTGTTGTGTTGAAGTACACTGTACTGTCAGGCGATTGAATAGACAGACCTGAACACCTGGAGTCACCCCCACTCACCCATTTTTAATATGCTTATATCTATATTTGATCATTTCTATTTATTTATATACTTTTTGTTCTTCTACTTCTCCCTTTCATAATTTTGCTCCTGTAAATTGGGAATTTCTCCATTGTGAGACAAATAAAGGTTTTCTTATCTTATCTTCCTTATCTTATCTTACCTTAGGTTTCAGTACAGAAGCTTTAAAACTGGCAATTTAAAAACAACGTAAAGTCGTGATAATTATTGCGATTTTTTATTTTTTATAGCAGTGCTAAACAAATAAACTTGACAAGTCCAGGTTGTAGTCAGCTAGCATAGGCTCCACCTCCCTCCAACGCTGAGCGGGATAAGCGGCACAGAAAATGGATGGATGAATACGGAAAGTGTACATTTCCCAGCGAATTAGATTGTCTTGTGACTAGAAAAGAAATGTCAGATTCCTTTTCTCCTTACCAACGAGTCTCTTTTTTTTCTCTCCATGCTTTGCAGATATTTGTGGCCACAACAGCCTTTTTGTTGCCGAGTGCTGAGCACTCAACAGCGGAAGCAGACAAAAAGGTACATGGTGGAAAGGAAATGGCAGAGATCTAAAGGACCTTGATCTGTCTATGTTGGAATGGTGCATTTAAAGAGACATGTTTTCACTCATGAGATTTGTTCTCTTGCATTTTCCACGCTACCCTTTTTGTTTCATTTCTCCCTCCCATACCTCATTTTCTTTTCTTTAAAAATTCTGTTGGTGGCATTTCATTGTGTCTTGTTTTTTTTTGTTGTTGTTGTTGTTGTTTTTTTTTTGTTTTTTTTTAACATTTGTAAAATATTCGAACTTCCTTAGTTGGTGGTGTCCCTGCTGTTATGTCTGTTGGACTGGTGCATGGCTGTTCCCTTGAGTCTACTTTTGGAACCGATTACCACAGCTTTGCTGGAGGACCACACATCCCACAAAGCCCCCCTACTGGACTACATCTACAGGGTGGGTAGTCTCACTGTCATCTTGGTGACAAGGACAGCGTGTAGCAACTTTGGATTTTTCGTTATTTGTTTGAGACTTAAGTAATCTGTACTGCGTTCCAATTTATTGCATCCATTCCAAACATATGCAATGATGTTTTTCCTCAGAATGTTTGAAATGGTGCATGCAAATGGCATTCAGCATCATTTTCAAGTCATCATCTGTTCAAGAATGATTATTAAAAAACATCATAACGTTTTTGAACAAACCTCCAAATGATAAGATTACTTACTGAAATAATAAAGACATTTTTATTAAAATGCACCGTTCCTAATTATTATGCAGAGTAGTGTTTCAAGAAATTTTGTAACTTGTAAAGAACTGAAAATAGTAATTTTTGGAATTTGCATTAGGATGTTGTATTTGCTGCAATCAAAACCTATTTCAGTAAAAACATCGTAACAATTCAAGCTACATTTTCACATAATAATAAGGAACAGTGCATTTGACTTAACACAATGGTTTTATTTTGGGGAAAAGTCCGGTTTGCAAACAAAACATCAACAGTTGTTCACCTGAAAAGTATGCTGAGTGCAACTTGCATAGACTGTTCACACAAATCTGAGAAAAGCATCATTTGCACAATCATTATGGAACGTGGTGTATTAAACGAAATACAACAGCTTCAACCCTTCCCACACTGACCTTCACCTCTCCTCACAGGCTTTCCACTAGACACCCCTCACTATGACCTCCTGGCTATACCTAATTTAATATTGCAGTGGCACAATATTGCTGAGGCACTTGGCATAGCTAAAGTGCATGGTGTATTTCTTGTGAGCCGATTTTTTTTCTGCTAAAATATTCACTATCCTTCTACCACTAATGATATTAAATGGGGATCATTTGTATTAAATTAAGTTGTATTCATCTCTCAGATCCTTCGTTTTGTGCTCTGACTCCGAGGAGCTTCAGGCCTAAATGAATGACGTATTATTCATTCCCTCCTGTCTGGGCAGACGCGGTCAACGGCAGATCTTTGTAAGGATGTCAGTCCTGATAAGGAATGGTCCAATTATTCAAACGGGATCCTTTGTCCATTTGATAAGCTCAGACCATAAACGCTTGTCCTACTGATTTGAATGGAATATGTCTTGATATGCGAGCGACTGCAGCTGCCATGAAAGCACAGACAATTAGACATGATTGGTTGTCTATCAGAACCAAAAACTACAAGGCCCCTCTGGGTTTCATTGGAAATAATCCATCAAGTAAGGTGTGACAACATTAATGCAATATCCAGGCTTAAATCTATATATTTCCATGCTCATTATTCCACAAAACCCGCCCTTTTATTCTGTTACTGAAGTGAATGCATTTGTGTCAAGGCAGTGGTCTGTCCTTTATTGACGTGGCTTTAATGATAAATCTCAATTGAAAAGATTTTCTTTCTTTTCTTTTTTGAAATCAAGCGGTCAAATATCAATGTAATACATATCGACAAAAATGGTTGTCCTGTATTTCATCCTGGCACAGTGTGTGCTCATGCTGCCTAACAGAATGCAGATCTATTGCAAAACCAACATTGCACTAGACCTCTTTGTCTTACTGGTGTTCGGTTCAAGCTTCTCCATCTGCTGTCCGTTCCTGCCCCAGTAGCCAGCTGCACCACTCCTCTGCGCGGGCCTGTTAGGTTTACATCCATCTTTGTGAGGACCAATTTAAATTCGAACCTCTGTGTAAGGGTGAACTGTAGTGATATATATGCAAATATGTGTACGGCGTGCATTTCATGGGAATGGTTATGTTTAGACAGAGACACAGTGATGGTTAGGGGAAGTTAAGGCGGCTCTCCAGCACACTATTCGTTTTCAATCTCCTTCCAAATTGTTGTGCGATGCATATGTGCCCCTCTTAACTACAGTGTGCTCATTTGTCTGTTACCGTCCAAGAACTGTTGCCATGCAAAGTGTAGTCACTTAGTTGTCAAGCACAGCCGTGGCCCCCCCCCCCTTTTCTGTCTCTCCATCTCTCCGCAGAGGGAAGCTCTTTGGGGGTTTTGGTGTAGCAGCTGTTTGGTTCAGGTCTTTTCACCATCAAGCTGCCAAACCCTCCCCCATGTACTCAAAGGTCTGCTTGGGAGATTCATCCGCGTACTGTCTACATTGCCACACACAATACTGTTTCAGATGACGGGCCCAGCCTGCCTTCTCTCTGCCTCTCTCCACCAAGTGCAAGCGCATGTGTGCATTGAAAGGGATTAGCCTTTACATGGCTTTACCCCAAGTTGCTCTACTGTGACCAAGTGGGCCCCTCATTTACATATATTAGTCATATGATCTAAAACCCCTTCCGGACAATGTCATCGTACAAATTACAGGTGTGTGTGGAGCATGCATGTTTGCGCTGGGAGTTAAACACGCAACAAAAAAGTCTTAATTAAATCAAACAGTGTAAACCTGTCCGGTGGCTGTAATCGACTGCCCCAGTGCGCCTTATCTGGTGCTGCCAAGGGATGCTGTGCCATCTGTTATGTAGATCGATACATTCTCACAATACAGGAGAGATGGATTCAAAGCAATAAAAGCACTCTTTTCTTTTTTTTTTCTCCTCTTTCGTCATCTTGGTATAAATGGATACGTTGTATTCCTCTTCCACCAGCTTGTTTTTAGTGTGGGATTGTACATATATCAATACAGCTATTGATACTTCAGCACATGCATTATTGTAGGTGCGTATTCTTTAAACCATTTTCCTGTTAAATTCTCCTGACTAAATTTACACAATGGTGACAAAAAAAAATTCCTGCTACTTTTTTCACATGAACCTTGCATCTCAAACAATGAGATCTGCTAAATTACTGTTTTTTTACGAGGTAAGAAGCTTCATCCCGCCAATATGTTTTGGGGCAATTCCAATTGTACCCCTTAGTGCTTGTTCCACTCCTTAGCCTGCGGTTGTATGCGTTCATGAGAACGAAGGGGTGTCTCAAATCTCAGAGCGCTTGGTCTCACATCAGCAAATGGTGACAGCTACGAGATATATCCCGGGAGCTAGTGAAGTGCTGCCCAATGTGTGACCACGCCCTCTCGTGTGAAATTATGACAGCTGAAACTGTTACCAAGGTAGGAGAACTTTTCTTTATACAAAAAAAAAGTATGAGTCTGAACACAAGTCCACTCCATCAAATTACTATGCAGATAATACTTAATGTTTTGAGAGTATAAACTAGAAAATTGCGCAACTTTGTTCTATGACTACTACAGTCATGTTTTTAAGTATTTCTGTCTGGTGACCTGGTGGCCCAGTGATTAGCGCGTCGACCTCACAGTGCAGAGGTCGTGGGTTCGATCCCGGCTCCGGCCTTCCTGTGTGGAATTTGCATGTTCTCCCTGCGTGGGATTTCTCTGGGTACTCCGGTTTCTTCCCATATTCCCAAAACATGCATGGCAGGCTGATTGAACACTCTAAATTGACCCTAGATGTGAGTGTGAGCGCATATGGTTGTTCGTCTCTGTGTGCCCTGCGATTGGCTGGTAACGAGTTCAGGGTGTACCCGCCTACTGCCCGAAGACGGCTGCGATAGGTTCCAGCCCCCCCACACACCTCCAAGTTGTGAGGATAAAGCGGATTGGAAAATGGATGGATGGACCTTTCTGTGTAAATATCACGTTAAAACATGGACACCACAAGTGTGGCCTCTACAAGTGCTTGTTGGTTGTTTTGTTTTTTTAAATGCAAGTGATTTAGATTCAGGTGTGCTCAATAGTCTGGAAATTATGGTAAATGAATGCGTCCCTGTGTCATAGCATCCACTTTGAACAGATTTGAGATGTATGCTTTGCTTTGACTGCGTTTGCACCGGTTTCAATTGAACATGGGAACATGTATAACCTATTCCCACACTAGGTCCGTCACTTCGTATCAGATTGATTTCTTTTGCATTATGTAAAAAAACGTATGACGTGTTCCCAGAAACATTGAATCTGGTTGAAACGCCACCTCGTTTAGATGCTTTATTATAGCTGTTCGTGGTCACTCATTGGTTTCCCAAGCGTCAAATGCCTTGTCAGACGGCTGCACTCTCTTGAATGCTTGTGTTCCTCTTTAGAATGCCCGGAATCACTAAAACAGGTCGAAAGCATTGTTCGTCACTGCACACCGTCTTTGCCAGACACTGTCAAATCTCATCATGCAGTGTCCTTGCACATCACTGATACAATTTTGCCATCAAAGCACCTCTCACTGACTGAAAGGAGAGTACATAGCCAGGTAGGCAATATCTGATCAAGTGTTATCCCCTTTCTTCTTTTTCCTTAGGTGCTGCACTGTTGTGTGTCGGGCTCCACCCTCCACACACAACAGAGTCACTATCTCCTCAGCCTGGCAGACTTGTCCGCTGACTACGATCTCATGTTGGGGCAGGTGAAGAGTTTTGAGCCACCACCTTCCCAGACGACCTCTAGCGACTTCCGCAGCTTGCTCACCGTAGCAGAGGGTAACGTGGCATGAAATTCACAGTAGATTTACAAGGGCCACTCTTCTTTGGGGCCATTGGGACAATGATGACAGTGGGCAGAGCTGGAGTGTTGCAACTCGGCGAGCCAGATGAGAAAAGACCATTTTAATTGATGCAGACACCATTTAGAAACTAAATTGTAATTCAGCAAAATTCGGAATGGCCTGTTTCCGGTCATGTTTTTTTTGGAACTAGGCAGCAACAATAAATGTAGTTACTGTTTGCAAGTAGTTTACTAATTTATAATCCAAAATGGGCATTCTGTAGTGTTTTTTTTTTTCCTCGTACTTTTATTTAGTTCAGCATTTGCGGGAGCTCTTTACCCCAATTAGTGACATTCTAATTGTATGGGCATTACCGAATTGCATAAAGAACAAATCAAATAGTAGCTTAAGACTTTAATATTATTATATTAGCACTTTATTGGCAGCCTCTTTACCACATTGGCATAATGTAATAGTTTACCACGTTGTCCCAAAAATCTTAAAAGAAGTTCACTGAAAGAATTAATTCTAAGTAGCCCATCCATTTGGATCTTCTCTATTAAATGTCAACATCCTATTAAAAATATAAAAAAAGGGACATCAACTATCAGGGAATGCAACATTCGCATTAGTGCTCATCCTCAAGAAGACCCATTACAGGGTTTAGATAAAAATGTCACATTTTTCCTATTTTTGTGACCTTGTGATTCCATTAGGCAATGTATTTCCCTCTGTTTTTGTCTCTCTCTCTCTCTCTCTCTCTCTCTCTCTCTCTCTCTCTCTCTCTCTCTCTCTCTCTCTCTCTCTCTCTCTCTCTCTCTCACCCATTCTCATGTCCTCAACTTCTAAAAAGTCCCTTTGAGCCCGAATACACGCAATATGTGCACTGAAACAATGTGAGAATTTTGAACCGTAGCATCTGCCTCAGAATTTACAGCTCACCTTTTCTTTGTGGCACACAGCTGCAGAGTCTTAGTGGAAATAACAAAACACTATCAAAAGGGCAAACCAAAGAGTGCCGGCCTAGTTATATTCATGCCCCCACCTCATATTGATCAAGTCACATCAAAGGGGCCAGCGTATCTCTAATGTAGCTTGGCCTGCTTTCTAAAGAGCTTTTTCCACTTTGATGGGGGATGATGGTATTGATAGCACTGTCACAATGCAAGAGTGCATCTTCTTGTTTTTCCTACCTCAACGCATAATGAAGGCCAGCATGCTTTTCACTTGAGCGTAAAAAAAAAAACCATTCATTTACACAAATGCAATTCACCGAGTAGGGTCTCATTCAGTAGCCTGTGAAGATGGAGGTTCTCATTAGTGCATGGCCAGTCTAAACACTTGTCCATTATAAGAAGACCCGATGGGCTTTTCAAAGGTGTCTCATATGATTAGATGCTACCTACTTAGTGTCGTGCTGGCTAAGCTATTGTGAGTATTAAATAAAGCGCTTTTATTCGGACTCATAATTGAGATTTTGCTGGGTTAGAATAAGTAACAGAGATAATAGCATGTCTACACACAAATGTAAGGCTTTTGAAAAGTGCAGAGCAAAGTTAGCGTTGCATTTATGATAAATGATAACCGAGTTAGGTATTTCCCCATAGCTATTTTTGTATTTCAGGTCCATGTGTTGTATATTTATCAGATCGTCCTCATTCCTTTGCCAGAAAAACGGCGTCGGAGCATGGAGCTGATTCCACTAACAGCAAGGATGGTCATGACGCACCTGGTGAATCATTTGGGACATCATCCTTTAAACGGAGGCCCAGCCCTCCTCCATAGCCTAGTGAGCGAAAATCATGACAACCCTTACGTGGAGTCGTCCGAGCTGTCCTCAGAGGTCTTCAAAAGCCCCAATCTTCAGCTGTTTGTTTTCAATGATACCACACTGGTGTCCTACCTGCAGATCCCCGCAGAGACCCCCACTGTCGGTCAACCCCCCAACCCGTCCTCACAGGTGCGCATCATTGTCCGTGACATTTCAGGTAAATATTCGTGGGATGGGACAATCCTGTTCTCAACGAACCAGGAAGACTGCGAGGATATCAGCGTTTTTAAGTCATTCGATCATACGCTTGCAACCACCACTGCCGCCGCTGCGGCACACAGCAAACATCTGCCCGGTTCTCCAACAACAGGATCGTCCAAGTATCATTTCTCTGTCTCCGATTCCATCCCTGACTCCTGCGACTTGGAGGAAGTCGATTATCTTCACAAACTTTTGGAGGATCTCGGTCTGAGCAGCCCAGAATGCCTCCCCAAATCTCAACTCAAGCTAAATCAGCCGGCCCCCTCACCCTTGGGCATGAACCTTGAGCAGGAAAGTGCCATCCTCAGTGCCATTCTTCGTCAGACTCAGCAGGAGGAGGAGCAGGTGAAAAGGTGGGATGCTGATGTGAGCTTTCGGGCCTCCTCCCAGAGGGAACCGTCCCACCGGGAACCCAAGGCACCTTTTTATTACTGTCGACTACTGCTGAATGACCTTGGCATGAACTCCTGGGAGCGAAGGTATGCTATCGTACATTCTGTCACAATTACTCTCTTGTGCCTTACATGAACATATGAAGTAGAGTTAAGGTTTTAACTTGTTTAAATACTTAACAGCCTTCACTTCTCCAACTTAAAAACATTTAACTGAAACATTGGGCCGCCGATATCGTATTTGCATTCATGACATCTTCCTGCAAGTAATTCAGCTGTTGGCTTGTGACTCTTAAGAGAGCAGTTTTAAAAGCACCAGAGTGCTTTAATCTTTCCTCCATCGGGTAAATGCGCCCAGCTGTTTACACAAAGGTCTACCTTGCACTGACACATCTTTATAGTGCCACCCGCAAATTAAAAACTTGCACCTCTTAATAGCGATGGCGTAACATGAACACAGCTTGTGGGGGATTGCAGTTTGCACCTGTGGCCTCTTACATTAATCCTAAAAAGAGGGAGTTTGCAATCCCCCCCACCCCTCCCCCCAAAAAACACTTTTTGTCCTGTTTGATAAAACAGCTGACTTTGACTTGTCAGTATTACAGCGTTATGATTTATAAAACAGTCAGCTTTCTCTGGCCCTGTCTTGCGCCTCCAATTTGATATACAAGAAACCACCTCGCAAAAATAAAAACTTTACACTGATGACATTTATTGTTCTCATCACACTTTGTTATGAATAAGGCGCTTTTCGAATTTAACAAGGTAAACAGGTCAGCGCGGAGTTGAGGCATGTACCCACAAGTGCGAGACACATGAATGAGACCTCATTCGTCACCCTTTGTCCTTGGGTGGTTGTTTTTCCTTGGCCAAGGTGGTTTCTTTTATATCAAATTAGACTCAAAAGGGCCAGAATCTGCAGATGTTTTATTTTTAAATAGATCATATTTATCATATATTACAGTCATGTCACAATGACGTTTTTGAGCAAATTTTCCAAAACTGTTGGAGGGGGGCCGGGGAGTGTCGGTGTTGCTAATTCGCCCTTAAGAAGCAAATCATTATTTTGAACACACAACATCCATTTCAACACTGTGCAATGTTTGTGAGAATTGGGCAAGTGATTATTTGAACTGTTTTTGGCCAACTAGGAAAAGTTTCCACTTGCTGAAGAAGAACTCCAAACTCTTACGAGAACTAAAGAATTTGGATTCTCGACAATGGTAACGTTTTATTTTATTTTTTTACACCATTATTTTCTAACTTGTACCAGCTCCTGCCATTAGCTTTGAATAGTCAAGTGAACTAGTTATTTGGTTTCGTTGCATAAGTAGCTTGAGAATTTTGTCCTCATTGTCATTTTAAATGTGTGTAATAGTTGTACTTTATTACTCTTGTCATAATAACTATTTTATTTGTTTTTCCTTGAGTCGGGAGACGCACAAGATCGCTGTGTTCTACATTGGCGAGGGCCAAGAAGACAAGTGCTCCATCCTGTCAAACAGTGCCGGCAGCAAGGCTTATGAAGACTTTGTTTCCGGGCTTGGATGGGAGGTGCGTCTTAAAAGTCTTAACACTCGCTACAGATGCATTCACATTTGCATCAAAAGATGCACCTCCTGATGTTGGACCTCTGCGGTGGCGGACCGTGTTAAATACAAAATATATGTGCCTCAGGTGGATCTGGCCACACACTGCGGTTTTATGGGCGGCCTCCAGAGGAATGGCAGCACAGGACTAACAGCTCCCTACTATGCTACCTCCACTGTAGAAGCCATCTTCCATGTCTCGACGCGTATGCCATCTGATTCTGATGACTGCCTCACCAAAAAGGTGCCTCTCACATCTGTAGTGATGTCTGTCAATCAGATCTGCGTGTTCACATCTGGGAATACGATATGTCATGTTATTTGACTTTTGGCACAACACTGTGCACGTCAGATGCAGTGAAATGGTTACACTGTCCCACTTGCCCAGATTAGGTTTACATATACAAACCCAATTCCAATATAGTGGGGATGTTGTATCCAACATAGATAAAAACAGAGAACAAAGATTTGGAAATCATGTTCAACCGATAGTTAACTGAATATACTCCAAAGACAAGATATACTGTATCATTTTCAAACCCGATAAATGTAATTGTTTTAACAACTAATCAATAACTTTGAATTTTATGACCGCAACATGTTCCAAAATTCAGGGACAGTCATGTTTACCACCGTCTTACATCATTTTTCTTTTAACAACATTCAATAAAAGTTCGGGAACTGAGGACACTAATTCTTGAAGCTTTGCAGGTGGCATTCTTTTCCCATTCTTGCTTGAGGCACAGTCCGGCTGTTCAACAGTCTGATGTCTCAATTGTCGTAATTTTCACTTCGTAATGCGCCACACATTTTCAGTTGGAGACAGGCCTGGACTGCAGACAGGCCAGTCGAGTACCCGCACTCTTTTACTATGAAGCCACCGGCAGAATGTGATCTGGCATTGTCTTGCTGTGAAATAAGCAGGGACGTCCATGAAAAAGATGTCGCTTGGATGGCAGCATATGTTTCTCCAAAACATGTATGTACCTTTCAGCGCTAATGGTGCCTTCACAGACGTGTACATTACCCAGGCCATTGGCACTAACAGAGCCCCATCACAGATGCTGGCTTTTGAATTTTGCTTCCATAACAGTCCAGATGTTTCTCTTCCTTTGTGGCTCGGACCACACGACGGTCACAATTTCCAAAAACAATTTAAAATGTGACCTCGTCAGACCACAAAGCACTTTTCCACTTTGCATAGGTCTATATTAGATGAGCTCAAGCCCAGAGAGCTTTTGCTTTGCATAGTCGAGTTTTAAGTTGCACTGACTGATGTAGCGGCAACCTGTATTTACTGACATTGGTTTTCTGAAGTGTTCCCGAGCCCATGTGGTGATGTCCTTAACACATTGATGTCGGTTTTTGATGTAGTGCTGCCTGAGGGATCGAAGGTCACAGACATTCAATGTTGGTTTTCGGTCTTACCGCTTGCATACAGTGATTTCTCCAGATTCTCTGAAACTCTTGATGATGTTTTGGACCATAGATGATGAAATCCCTAAATTCCTTGCAATTGCATGTTGAGGAACATTGTCCTTAACGTGTTTGACTATTTTCTCACATGGTTGTTCACAAAGGGGTAAACGTCGCCCCATCTTTGCTTGTGAATGACTCAGAAATTCAGGGAAGCTCTTCTTATATCCAATCATGGCACCCACCTGTTCCCAGTTAGCCTGTTCGCCCGTGGAATGTTTTTTTTTTCCACCTGTCCCAGTTTTTTTTTTTGGAACATGTTGCGACCATTCCAAGTTAATAATTATTTGCTAAAAACAATAAAAATGATCAGTTTCAAGATTAAATATCTTGTGCTTGTAATATATTCAAATTAAATTTTTATTTGTTAAACATAGTCCCAACTTCGATACTTCGATGGAAGTGTGTGTGTGTGTGTGTGTATGTATGTATGTATGTATGTATGTATTTATGTATGTATGTATGTATGTGTGTGTATATATATATATATATTGCCCCCCCCCCTTCAGTTCAGTGTTAAGCTGTGATCAGGAGGTGTGACTCCAGAGTGTGACCATTGATTAGTGACCCTGGCAAGCAGACATGACGAGGAGAGAGTAGCGGGCCCACGAGTGAACAGGGTTGCATTTGTCGCTGTGGTAATGACTACGATTCTGCTATTCCCTGATCCCCCACTCTGTGTGCTGTGACCAGGGCCTGGATTCACCCATTATCTCTCCCTGCTAGAGCAGGCGCCGGACGGATGCCGGCAGGATCCTTTTATCCAATTCCTGCTGCCTCCACAGGAGCGATCAATTGGGTTCTGCCGTAGGATTCGAGACTGTAGTACACAAGGAACAGTTAGCGCAAAGAAATGAGCCGCAAAGGCCCCTGCCCATGCTGCCAATCTTCTCATACGATGCCATGCTGAGAAGGGAAATTAATCAGGCCTCCCCCATAGCCAATGCCACTCCAGTCCTCCACAGACCCTGTTTCACCAATAACCACCTCAAAATTCCACACCCGTACTGAAACTGTGCTTATGGACTGCAAAAAATAATTTCATAAAAATATTGTTCAGGGCAAAAAGGGGAAATTCCAGTGCATTTTGCTGCCTCTCTAAATCCATTTCACTGTCCGAAATGCTGTAATTGCATATGCTCATCTTTTCCAAATCTCAACACCATCCACAGGCTATATAGACAATGGTTGGCTTGATGCACACTCAAATGCTTCCAAAAGGTGTGAGGGGGGCAGTGGGAAGTGAAGAAGAATTGGAATGAGAAATGTGCTTCATCGCTGTCTGGGTGGGATGTTTTCCATGTCAATTTAAAAATAACACTTTTAGTCCAGCAGCACCCACTTTATTGCTCGTGGCCGCAGAGCCATACTTCGGGTTGTTCTGTGGGTAGAAAAGGATGCGGGAGGTCAAAGCAAACAGCTTTCAGAAAAAGGGGGGATGGCGAATTGGGATAACAAACTCCTCAATCCAATTGTGTGTTGTTGCGCAGTGCAGGCTGCAGCAGTAGCAGCTGGCCTCGGTAATATGGTTAGAGAAGCAACTTGCAGAGTTGGGATCAGACCGTGTGTGTGTGTGTGTGTGTGTGTGTGTGTGTGTGTGTGTGTGTGTGTGTGTGTGTGTGTGTGTGTGTGTGTGTGTGTGTGTGTGTGTGTGTGTGTGTGTGTGTGCGTGTGTGTGTGCGTGTGCGCGTGCGTGTGTTAATGTTTATGTGTGAATCTCCCCAAGGCACCACAGCTTAAATGGGCCACCAAAGGTTTTTTTTTAATTTATTTATTATTATTTTTTATTTTTTATATGAGTAGCCACAAGTCTTCTGAGGTCCTCTCACCTGCTTCATCCATCGTGTTGAGGCCCATCAACTAGGTGGGAGGTCAAAGACAGCTAATTGGATAGCAGCCTTTGACTTCACATTTCTTCTTGAGAGAGACAGAGAGAGAAAAGAATAAATAAGTCACACATTTGGACGTGATTAACAAAGAAGCAAGTAGCCGACTGTTTGCAGCGTAAGCATCCTCATTAAACTTGCGATGCAGCTCATCCAAATGCTAATATCTTAACCCAAATTAACATCCCAGTGTTAATTGTAAGCACCAAATGCATATTCAACATTTCCGTGAAATTGTCCCAGTGACTGACTTGGTTTCTACCTGCGGGTCCTTGGATCGGCCGCCTGAATTGGTGAACAGTAATCAGCATGTCGTGCGTTTGTTTAAGATGACAGAATTACCATAATTAAGGGCTTATAATAGAATGCACTAATTGCATTTTTGGTGGCAAGGGCATGTTTTCTAATGGCTCATTAAGCCCACAGTACATTGGCAGATGTTTTCAACTGAACAGAGTCTTAATTTTCAGTGTCTATGATACCCCATAAACAGAGGAGTTAGTGGACGACCAGCTAATATGTGCGCTACACTTGTCCGAGAATATAATGTAGCTGCGTTGATTCAACTTTGGATGAAGCTGTTTATTGAAAGCAGTGTCAGTCAATTTCCTGTTCTTTAAGTGTACACTCTTGTCCTGCCTGCTTTCATTTATTTTTGTGAATAGAGTGGAAATGGGAGGCAATTTAATGTCTGATGGGGAAGTTAATTGGATTTGAATTATTGGTTTTAAAATGCTCAATTTTGTGCATTTTTGCTTTTCGATTTGAATGCATGTTGAAAACACAATAAAAGGGTCAAATCTGAGTCCAGACCCCTATTTAATTTATTGTTTTCAAAGTTTGTAATTTAATGATATACGCTGTATTTGCTCTTGCACCTGCCACATTATTTATTTTCTGTAGGATAATAAAAATGCTTTCAAGAGGGAAAAAAACATATACAGTACACAGACATATAAAATGCTTGAATGCAAGCTTATGTAGCATCAAATGAAAACACCGCGACTCTGTCATAAATGAACAATATGGGCTACCCTCACCACTACGTTTCTGTCCACTTTTGGAGTTTCTCAGGATGGCCGATAACATTGATTGGATAAACCCGACAGCTTTCCGTAATCCTCCAACATTTTTCTTCTTATCATCATCGCTGTCGGAGGAAAATTACATACGGTCGCCAGACTCTTGATTAGTCTGATTGTGTGTGTTTGGCAGCTTCGTCACCTTGGAAATGACGAGGTGCACATCGTGTGGTCAGAGCACACCAGGGATTATCGGCGTGGCATCATTCCAACGGATTTTGGAGACGTGTTGATTGTCATTTACCCAATGGAGAACTCCATGTATTTCATCCAAATCATGAAGAAACCACAGGTGAGAAACATTTGAACAACAATACAGTACACGCACTTGGAAGTAACCATTATGCAAGCGCCAAATACTTTACATGAGTACATTTTCAGTGTTGAGAGCGAAGAGGTGATCAGTAAAGTTTGGGGTATGCTTAATACATGTAAATTCCGCATGGAAATGAGAAATGTGTAATCCGGCCAGCGCCAACTTTACAACCTTTTAAATTCTGCACAGCTTGCCACCGTCAATATTCTCCGAGACTATAGGAGGTAGTAAAGAGCATCTGCGGCATATGAACATTTCCTCACAATAAAAATATTACCCTTTTTTTTTTTTTTTTTTTTGGCTTTCTTTTGTTTTAACAAACTATCTACATTGACAATTTGTAAAGGTCATAAAGCGACAAGATATTGCCTGATGGAACAGCAATAATGTTTTATCTATGTAACACTTTGGATTTGTGTGATAGCATGAGAAAGATGAGTGGTCGAAAAACGCAGCTGTGATTCCACAAAATAGTTTGTCATGTATTCTCTGGTTGTACAAAACCTATTTGTTTAAAATAGAAGACAACGCCGTTTCCAAATCGTGTGAGATGATTAACACGAAAAGAGGCATCAAATACATCCAACTATGAGCAGGCATGCTTATCAAGCGACACCCAAAACAAAGGCGCTGTCCGATGATGCTGGCTTTAATCACACAGATTTGAACCTCAAGGTTCAATGTTTGTTGAAAACTTGTTGAAATGTCCCTACTGCACGTAGTGAACCCAAAACAACGAAGGAATTAATCAGGCAAAAACTGGAACTCGCCAAGTCATTCTCCAAACTTAAACCATATAGAGAATGAATTTTACCTGTTAAGGTGGAGACTGAAAGAGTAGCCCTCCCAACCACACAACAACAGACAAGTTGCAGTCAAAGCCTGGAAGAGCATCATCGAAGACTAAGATTTCAAATGAAATATTCAACTTTACCTTCTCCAGTACTTTTACTCACTTAGAAATGTGTTGTGTATTTATATTCCATAACATGGAATGCTAATGCTAAGTTGTTGTTTGTTTTTTTAACCTACAGCAAAATACAGCACTTTTTGACTCACTGTTGCAATATTTTGGGAGGGGATTGTGTCAAATTTTTATTTGGGGAGGGGGGTTTAAATAAAAAGAAATGACGGCCTCATTTCATGAAATGTAATAAAGGCATGCATGTGCCTCTTAAATGTACTTTGGATTTTAAATTCTTTAAATACACTGAGGTCTATATTTAAAAGCAGTCAAAGAAAGCCATTATCTCAACCAAGGACTACAAGATAGGAGAGGCACTTTGCACTTTTAAATTTAAAAAAACTGCCATTTTATGAGACCAACTCGGGTTTCACAGTAGTTTTGTGACAAATGAGTTAATCATCTCTAAATCCCTTTGTTATATAATCTGACTTGCTATTATGCTCCTTAAATTACCAAATTGAAGACAGCAGGACCTTTAGGAGGGACTTTGACATTCCCGTCAACTTCCAGGTCAATGACCATTGGGCCTCAGTGATTAAGGGCCCGCATGAGCAGACGCGTGTGCCCACACACTCGCGCACAGCCGCTAAAATGCTTATTGTCGCTTTGTATTTGTTGTTTCGCTCAATATGGGGGCATTGTTAAGTATTGATTGTCATTTTAATTTCTTTTAACATAAGTTGATTCTCATTCAATGTGTGCGGCTGTCGTGCGTAGTTAGGTGACATCCAGTTAATTGTTGAGCCCTCTCTCCTTAAACAGATGGAAAAACGGTCAGAGTATGATTTTTTTAATCAGCCTTATTTTTGGGTCTTATACTGTGTCAGGGAATTGATTAAATTCACTTCAGATCGGCACGTACGTTAAAATACGTCACGTTACAAATTTTTTACCCCCCCCTCTCATTAATTTTCTCAGGTTCCCTTCTTTGGGCCTTTATTTAATGGTGCCATCATCAATGGGAAGCTGCTGCCAAGCTTAGTGCGGGCCACTTGCATCAATGCCAGCAGAGCTGTCAAATCCCGGCTGACTCTTTACCAGAGTTTGTATCCTTTTCTTCTTAGTGCTGAAGCTTTATTTGTCACCCTCACACGCCTGGGATGGCTGCATCAGATTAACTGCAAATGTTTTTATCGTGATTTATCTGAATAATTATCAAAGCACGTCCAAGTATTTAGGCCCGTGTGTGAATGTAGATTCGGGTGGCTTTTGATTTATACATAAGACCAAAGAGATTATATGTTCAATGACACAAGCGTCCCGTTTGAGTAAATTTCCTGAGACATGTGGCTTGCTTGTCACGCCAGCCAATGTACACAGCTGCGCGCCGACATGGATCTTTATTGGCTGGTTGATTTGCATACAGCTATTAAGCCGAGGCTGTTGCACAGCCTGGAGCAGCATGGGAGGTTGTATGGACCTGTTTGTCGTAGGAGCACAGATGATTCGTCATCATCTATTACTACCATTTTTATGGAGCACAAGGAGGGCCCGAATGAGAGCCACATCAACAAATGTTCCCGCACGCGCACAGACAAGCTTGCTCTCATCCTTCCATCCACGCCGCCCAACAGTGTGCCGTTAAGAGCTTGACTCCAGCTGTAGTTGTCAGTTGGTTTAAAGGCAACGTAATCGCCATTGGAGACAAATTAGCATGTGAATGCCAGCAGCACTGGATTGGGAAGGGAGTTTGGAGGGGGTGGTGGGGTAAAAGGGTCGGGATGGCCCCTGGAGGGCGAAACCTGATCTCTCATAACACCCTGCTCCTTCTCGGACAGCATGTACAGCACTGCCTCACCAGAGCCCCGCTGCCCCTCTGGCGGTTGCTATCGAAACCTCCCCCAATGCAATGTCGTTTGGGGTAAAAGCGTCGTAAAAATATCATGTTGTTTTGTCAATTTTTTCATTCAAGCTGAGATGAATTTCACACTGTCTCATGTGTGAATTTACAGTTGAATGCGTAAGTATGTATACGCTGTTGCACATCCTCTGGTCCCCGCATTGTTTCGAGCAGGCCGTGTCTTTGTATTCCTGGGGGCGTCTTGAGTGACAGATGTCTGTTACCCGACGCCAAGAGAATTAGCCCTGTGTGTCTCTCAGCGCCAGGAGGAGGAGTCTACCGCAATCTGCCTGCCTCCGGAAGCCTCAGGGGAGTGCCGGAGCAGTACTGAGGCCTTTCCGGTCCGCAAAAGTCTTACCTGGCATTCCTTAGCAGAGAAGCAGACAGCACGACGTCATGATGTATAATGAGAGGGGATAAGCCTCTGGAGTTCTGGTGCCGATAAGCTGCCAGGCATGGCGCTGTCCAAGAGACGTGCTGAATGAGTGTGCCAGGCGCACTCAGCACACTGCCAGTTTCTGCTTGTCCTTCTGCTGTTTGTCTGAGGAGGAGGGAAGTCATGAATACTTTGGTTTGATGATGTCAATGTGTAGCATAAAACCAAGCCATAGGTATCAGGTGTGCTTTTTTCTTTTCTCATTTGCAGTTTCTGTTTCCCAGCTTTTTGCTCTTTCCTGTACCAGTGTGCATTTTTCTATCTTCTTTGGAAATGCAACTCTTTTATCTTTCCCGTTCGAACAATGGTCCAAGCCTTTTCCGGCAAAATCCTCATCCTTAGTTTACCCCGACACAATGCGTTAACACTCCACAGACTGCTCTCTGGCTGTGAGGCCACTCTCCAAGGTAATTAGTTGAATATTTCTTCAAAGAGAAGCTATATGACCCCCGTGTGTCTTGATAAAAGGCCAGTATGACGCTGTGGCCCCCCTCTCTCGCACCGTATCAAGGCTGGAGAGGACTCCAACAGTCTGCGGTAACACTCCCAGGATCTCTCAGTCTAATAGGATTTGATATAGAAAATGACCACCGGCAACATTTTTCCGAAAATACAGACACAGATAAGCCTTGTGAGGGTTTTCAAATTCAACTCACACACACACACACACACACACACACACACACACACACACACACACACACACACACTGCACTCAATTTTTGCTCATATCTTCTGTCATCTATTTCCTTCTGTGGAATCTCAACTAGTTTTGTATAGCATCCATTGTTCAATGTCTGTTTTAATTCACGTCAATGTTGTCCGTCAAGATGCAATCATCGAATTCGTATAACAAGTCTCTCACTGACAACTCATAATGTATCATCTATTATTTAGGTGACTGATGGAAAATGCAGCTGGTCTGCCTTTTGGGTTTGTTTGTGTGTATTGTCCGTCTCGTCCATCCTTTTGCAGTTCTTTTTGAATGCCCATTACCGCAAGACGTTTCCTTTTATTAGACCACATTTCCATCATTTCAGCAGCAATTGAGTATAAATGAATCACATTTAAAGGCTTTTTTAAGGAGTGGCATGCAAAAAAAAAAAAAAAATGTCTGAAGTGTTCGCTTGAAAGAGATGACATGTTTGATTGCGTCACCTTAACTCAGCGTTCCTGCCGTGTCTACCGCCACGTATTGTGTCACCCGTGTCACGAGAATAATGTCCTCATGCAGCAGCTCAAGATTCATTCCTCTCTTCGACAAGCACTCTCCATCTCTCAGTGTCTCAGTATTGCTAATGGTAAAAAAACGTTGACGTATGTTTGTGTTGGGGAGACGGCAAGTTTCTAATAGGTGAGACAGTACAGAGCTGACCTTGATTCAGAGACATCGCCTCGCTATTGGATAGAATCAATAGTTTTTGCTCACTGTCCCCCCCCATCCTCTGATGTGACACACACCGGCGCAGAACCATCTCCAGGCACCGATCAATAGCCATAATCTGTTTCTGCCCTTCACCAGTCATGCGAGCCAGGCTCTTTGGCGTGTCTCCCTTGTTGTGTGGATGTGTGCGTGTGTGCGTATTTGTGAGATTATGAGCAGGTTGGGTCTTTTCACTGGAAACCAGAAAGCGGCCGAAGTCTGCCATGATCCCTCACCGGCCCCACTTGGGCACATAACGCTCTGAAAAGATTTAAATTATAGCAATAAATGTGGATTGAAAATATGACCTCCCTCATGCACTCCTGAGTATGCTGTTAATGCCCCCCCCCTTAAGTCATTATAATTATTACAATCAACTTCATTCACAATGACATATTCTCACACTCCTTCTGCGATCCCCTTTGTTCCATCCACTCCCTCTGTGTGGCATCTGTGACGATGACGGGCTTTTTCTGTTGTTTATTGCCAAGATTCCTCACCTAGCGCAGATGAAAGTGGCTTGTATGCCTGATAGGGTGTCATGAATAGGATCTGTCATGTTAGTGTTGTCTCACATGAATTATTAAGCACCGTTGATCGGTCTAATTTGCCAGCTGTTGTGCCATAACTGTATGCAGTCTCATGGATAATACAAGGCAATTTATATCGCTGAGGAGTATGCAGTGCTCCAGTGGGCACAGTGAGATGCCAAGTGCTAGTCCATTATATGCCGGGCCCACTCAGTGCTCTCATTTGACGTGTGTCTAACAACTGAACTTCCTGTTTATTCAAAAGCAGGGCAGATGACCTATGATGTGTCAGAAATTGTCCCAGTCGAGACAGAAAACATTCCAATATTAAAACACTCTTATGCAAATGATGGTATTAGTATGTTACACTCAGAGCTTCTTTCCTTTGGTTGGTCACAGTGGCTGCCCTTGGCGTTGATTGGGTGGTTGAAAGTTTATGCCGCATTTGGGGAGCTACTGAGAGAGGTGTGCGTGTTTGTGGGAGTGCGGGTGGGAGTTTTTTTTTTCTTCACCCCCCCCCCCTGAATGTTTTAACCTAATCCCATTATCAGTGTAGCGCACTGCCTCTCAGTTTTTCCCCCTCTTTATCCCTTCCCCCCTCTCGCCTTTCTCTCCAGCTGACCAGCTGTTCCTGCCGCGACTCATGACAATGTCCGATGTGTTCAGATCACTGAGTACCACCTGACCAACCCACCCCCTTCCTCAAACACTTGCTCAAATACGCAACGCAACCTTGCACAAGCGACGCAAAATCTTAGACTACTGCTGGAACCTTCATAGGCCAAGCAGGAAGGGGGTTTTGGTGGAAATGGGAACGCTTTGGTCATGTAAAGAGATTGTGGGGGACGTTGTGAGGGGGGGGCGGCTGTCAAACCAAGAGCCCTGACTCAGGAGGCAACCCAGCTCGGATGGCATATGGCGTCTAGCGTCATACAACATGCAAAAGTATTCTCTCCCCACACCCCCTTGTATCCACTCCCTCCTCTGTCTGTCTCTCTCTCTCCCCTGCTGCTAATGCAGAATGACTCATAGCATTACTCATTTTTTTTTCCCTAAACACCCCCCCCTCCACCCCCCACCTACTTGCACGCACACACGTCCACCGCATAGGTCCTATACCCTGAGAGCCCCGGGGGCCAAGCCCAGCTCATCTTGAGGGTCATGCGCCCATCCCCTTTAAACATAGGTAAAGCAGGCATGGAGCCAGACCAACAGCAGGGACACACAGCCCTGTTTGTGTTACCGCACACACACGGCTGGTGTCAAACTGTTGTGAACGTTGTTGGTTTGCTTGCTTAACATACTGTATATGGAAACCAAGCTTGGGCTGGCAATGCATTTCCCGGTACTTATTTTACAGTAAAAAAAATGTGTAGAACAAATGCAATCCCAAATATGATGCACTCTATATTTTTAAACTTGAACCTCCTCCTTGTTGCACCTCCCCTCCTATGTCCGTCTGTTATCCATTCATGTCTGACATCTGTCCATTTGTCCGCTGTAAAGTGGCAATGAGCATGTTGCCAGTTTTGTGTGAATCCATTTCTCTGTGCCCTCACAAGATTAAACTCGGGGTGTCAGTCGGATTACAATTAACAATATATTTTATAAGAGACATGCCACCATATTTCGCATGACTTTGACGTTGTCCGCTTTGTAAAACCAAGGGTGTTCCCCAAAAAATGCTCTCTTTCACTGGCCATTACTGACATATTTCAGATTTTGATTTCCCTACTCCAGTCTAGTCGAGGATTTCCATTTCTTCTCTTGTGGATGTTTCAAGCAATCCAGAATGTTACTTACGGATGTCTTAAGCG